ATTGTTGATTAATCCTCGATGAGACTCATCACTTGAAGCTATCTGCAAAAAATATTGAAGAATTATTAACAGCATGAATTATAATAAATATTTAATGTAAAATAGAGTTTGGCCTTGAGGCGATTTTCATCCGTGAGGCGAGGCGTAAGCCTCGAGGCGGTCTGAGGCGTAAGCCTCATGGACGCAGAATTGCGTAAATAATAATTTAAGGATTTTAGCAGGTAAATAATAGCAAGATTCTATTATACAATAAAAACATCTAAATAACAAGTGGAAATTAAGAAAAGAGATGCAATAAAAGCATGTTCCAAAGTACAAAATCACAAAATTATAGTAAACTCTCAAAATACAATTAAGAAGAAACATATAAAATCCAATCACATCCCATCACTAAATGGGTCTTTAAAGGAATATTCTTCTCCAATTGTATTTATGAATGTCATATCTTCATCATCTTCAATATGACTCACTTTTCTCTTCCCTGTTCAATAAGAATGATCATTAATTCATTATCATGTTAATTACTCACTTGATATAAATATAATGCAATAGCACATAAGAAGTTGTGAAATATCTTTACTTAATTATTGTGTTGCAGAGCTAGTGGATGTGTGTGGTGTGGTACTAGTGGATGTGCCCACTTGATCTGCTTCGCCCCTCAAAACATCCACACTTAGATCCTCTAGTTGTAAGTCTGATAATGACAAATCTGTCTCATCATCTATGAACCACTCATTATCAGATGACACATCATCACACACCAATGGGTCCTCATCATCCTTCAACCCCTTATTCCTCAACTTTCTATCTCTTAACTTTTTGTTGTGTATAATATATACAAGGCTCTGTTTAAAATTGCGAAATAAGAGGCGCGCCTCTGCTCAATTTGACACAAAAACGCCTCGAGGCTTACGCAATTCCTCTCCTAACAGAGGCGTACGCCTCACCTGGTCTGAGGCGCGCCTCAGAGGCCCAATTGCGCAATTCTGGGTGAGGCGTACACCTCATAGAACCGGCCCCAACCACTTAAAATGAAGCCTTTTCTCCCCTTAATCCCGCACGGCTTCCAGGTTATCCCGAAATTTTTCTTCCTGCAGCCTGTGTTCCCGAAACAGAGGGGTTCCCGCACGGTCGGCTTCCCTTCCTGCCGCCTCTCTCCGGCGAACTTGAAGTGTTTGGTCGCCCTCTAGGAGTACTCCACATTCGATTTTAGGTATTTTTTTTAGTTTAGGCCTAGATTTTCAAGTGAAAGAAAATCTAGTGTTTTTGAATTTTTGATTTTTTTTGTGTGTTTTTGTATTTTTGCTTTAAGAAACATGGTTAGAGGCAAAACGTCATTGCGGCATGATTTTATTGCATATATTTTCTTACTTTTCACTATTTTCATATATCATTTAGATGTTTTTATGGTATGATAGAATCTAGCTATTATTTACCTGCTAAAATCCTTAAATTCTTATTTATGCAATTCTGCGTCCGTAAGGCTTACGCCTCACACCGCCTCGAGGCTTACGCCTCGCCTCACGGACGAAAACCACCTCGAGGCTTAATTACGCAATTTTAAACCTTGATACAAGGGAGTTCATTCTGAGTGTTTATAGCTGATTTCTTCTCTTTGTTTGCACTTGACTATATGTACTCCAGTTTCACTCACACCTAGAAGAAGAACAAGTGAGGCCCAAAACTCTTACAGCAAAACTCTGTAACTCAGGGGTGAATTCATCAAATTAGAACCACCATTCAACTGTTTTCAAGAAGAAAAATGATAATCAGAACTTAATAAAGTGTCTTGCATTTACCAAAATATGTATACCTGGAGATCGTTTGGCAATCGTTGATTTTGCTGCATGCAGATCGAAAAAACCCTATTTATTCCGAAATAGAACAAGTTGTAAATCTGCAAGCTCCCTATCTGTCTGCTCTGGTATTAGTCGTTCCATGCAATGATACAGACCAAGCTTCACCTCTGGGTTTGGAGATTTCCTCTATGAATATTGAAATTGAGGATTGAGATAATATGCCGCTGCATGTAGATGACGGTGTAACTGTACCTCCCACCGAGCATCAATGATATTCCAAATCTCTCTAGAACTTGCCTCCTCTCCTCCCAAATTGTGTGTAATCAACTCCTTGGCCTCATCCATATCATTATGAATAAAACCCATAGCTGGTTTCTTCTCGGCATCCACTAAATGTAAAACTTGCACCAAGGGTCTCGTGCTCAATATAGCATAGGTCACAGTAGCCCAAAATTTATCATTTAAAATTATTTTTCTTATTTCCTTCCCCTCACTTTTCTTCCCCCACGCAGAGTTAAGCCATTCTGTTGATGTAAACATTGATTCCAGAGGTTGTCTCACATCCAACAGGCTCTACAGTGTCAAATAAGGTGTTGCAAACCTGTAGATTTACAGTGCACAAATGTAAGAAGATACCTAGTGGTTGCAGGATGAATGATTTTCTTCTTTGAAAACTTTCTCATTAAGGCTAAGACCCATGAGTGGTTGTATATGAACTTTGTGATCATCTTCGCCCTAGAAAGAGCGCTCTTGTGTTGAGGTAAATCACCAAGTTCCTCCAATATGAGATCGATACAGTGTGCTGCGCAGGGGGTCCAATATAGGTGTTTCCTCTTCTCCATCAACATCTGACCAGCTGCTTTGTATGCACTGGCATTGTTAGTCACCACCTGAACAACAAATTGCTCCCCAATCTCCTCAACAACCCCATCTAGTAAATTGAAAATGAATTCAGCATTTTTAACCTCATCTGAAGCTTCAACTGATCGTAAAAACACTGTGCCGTAGGAATTGTTGACAAGGATATTAATCAAGCTTCTGCTCTTCATGTCAGACCATCCATCTGACATAATTGTAACACCAGTTTCACTCCATGTCCGTTTAATCTCATCAATGCTCTGCTCTGTGTTATGTAGCTCCTCCAAAATTCATGTTCGCAACTCGTATATGGAAGGTGTCTTCAATCCTCTCCCATACAACCCTACAGGCCTCAACATATTGAAGTAGGCCGACGATGTCGCAACATTAAATGGTATGGCATTCTCAAAAAAAAATCTGCCAATATCCATGCAAACCTGCCGTCGACCCTCTCTGGTACCAGCCGCAGGCATCATCTGTGCTTGTCCTATATCCTCTTATGGATTAGTCATATACTGGTCCATAGGACTCTGCGCACCTCTATTATGTATAGTGGAGGAAGAGCCCTTTCCACTCTCGCTCCCCTGCAAGGAGAGAGGCACAAGTGGCTTAAGCTGATATAATTAATATTCTATACTAAATGTTTAAACACCTGACTTATTGTTTCAGGTCAAGGAAATTCCGTAAGAATCCTAGTTTTTGTAATAAAACATACCTTAGTTGTTTTTAACGGTATTGCTGATGTCATTGAAACACGTGTGAAATTTCTGTGTTAAAAAAATACAAATATAACTCTAGTTTACTAAACAGCCCTCCCCAGTTTCAAATCTCTCCTAAACCGCCCTCTCCTTTTTATTTTTTTATTCAAATAATGGGCCCCACAAGGTGGTATGCTGCTTGCTTTGTTCGCCTGGCATAAACAAGTGGTCGTCCCTTGTGATGGCCGGATGGACTTGTCCTTCTTGCACCGGTCTTTCTATCTTCACCTTTCCTTTTAGAAAAGTCTTTATAGCTTGAGACCACTTCAAGTAATTTCTTACATTCAAGCGACATGAGGCATGTAGCCCCTAGTGTTCTCTATTAATCTGATTTTCACCTTTCATTTCATGATTATTAACTCCTTTGAAGGGAAGTCAAATAAACCATACATGATGAAGATAAGGAAGAATCCCAATAAGAAAAAAAAAAAAGAGAGGATAGATGTTGGAGGAATGCAATGTTAACTTTTCACTCTGATATCTTTAGAACACCAGAAATATGAAAAAACTATTTTAATTTATGTTGTTTTTTCATGTAGAAATGTGAACGTCCTATAATGCAAATAAATCAATGCTACTTAATAGAAAAAGAAAAAAGTCCCCAAAAAAGTTTGGCGGCTAGAAGATGAAGGGGAGGCACACGGATTGTATTTTAAAAGTTATAAGAGGATCAATCCAACTGTTAGAAATATTAATCCGTGTGCTAAAAGTTCACTATCAAACTTGTTTGGTTTGTGGATCCTACAATCTTTCGACAATAGATATATGTTTACTGCAAGCGGGTAAGTTTGTACGTCCCAATGCTAATACATAAGAGTGTAGAAGTAATTGGGTGATCATGGACTGATGGTGAAGATAGAAGTTTCTGACATACCTCCATTAATTTTTTGGGGTAGTGACTGAGGTTGGTAGTTCCCGCAGCTATGAGTCCAAGAGTCTTGATTTGATTGGAAGGTGGATAGCGGGTTGTTACTTTTGGTTTTCCAAATTTTCCAGAGGATGTTACCAATTTTGATTTTTTGACATATTTTAAGAAAGGATCATCTTCACCTGACAAACGCTGAGCTCCTGGAGCATTCAATAATTACAATTTTCCACTAGATACATTCCCGTCATTTCATGTTCATATTTTTTATCTTTAAATTAATACTGAAAAGTTGACGCAGCATTACAGAAAATTATATTATATGCTGTTTATTTTAGCGTTGCTTGATCATTGAGGATAATTCAGACAATATTCTCTCCCCAATATCTATTACATCTCTTATGAATGCAACCTACTAAACTCAAAACTTTAAAAGGTGCATTTGTAACTGAATTTAATCAATGATCTTTCTTCTATTGTTTTATATTTAAGTAATTTTCGTCTGATACCATACTTTATACATGTACTGCTGTTCCGAAATTCTTCTCCGTGTATTATTACAAGCATTTTCTGCTTTATATTAAAAAACCCTAAAAGTAGGTTAAACTTTTATGAAAATAGAATCATCCTTGCGAATAGAAGCATTTATTAGTTCTGATTTATTTATTCCTCAATTGACAGGAAGTTGCTGACTGTCGCATTTCCCGGGCGATTTTGCAGTTAATTACAGCGAGTGTCTGATGACAAGGATACAAAGGATATCTCTTGATTATCATTTTAAAGTGGAGCAAGAAGCAGGTTCATCAACCTTCGCCTTCTTTGGTTTCAATGGTAATTGATGCTCATCTTAACGTCATCATCATAATCATCAGTAGCCTTATTCCTTATCATCATTACTCTGTAGCACACTTTTTTTTTCTGTGTATCACACTAAATTATATGCTTAACAGAGATGAAGGGTTTATCATTCTAAAACCAAAGGGTTTCTATTTAAGGACATGAATGCAGTTTATTAAAAGGCTATCTCTAGCAAATTATTTGTTTTGATTTTAATTATTTTATGCCTTTATGTATAAAAAATAGTAAACTTAATGTTTGATTGAATAGCCTTATAGACTAGCACATTTTTTATCTGCATTTGTTAAAAATTATATGGAGATAAAGATGTTTTCAGCATACATGTGGCAGAAGAGGTTCCTCAACTTACTTCTCCTGATTATAGGAACGGCTGGTGTATGGCGAATACCAGCTATTGAAGAAGCAGGTGGTTGGAAAGACCGAACTACTGTGGAGGACATGGATTTGGCGGTGAGGGCAGGCCTCAAAGGTTGGAAATTCTTATATGTTGGCGACATCAAGGTATCAAGTCATAAACCCTATGAGTTTTTATAAAAGAACATGTTTACCATGCTTGGTTGAAATCTTGGCATCTAAATTTGGTCATCTACATATAACATTAATCTTGAAATTGGCAATACGAACATTTATGGTATTTGTTTAGAAGTTATTCATTACAGAACCCAAGGGGAGTGATTTATACATAATTAAAAGTGCCTGCAGTTTGATTACTTCACTCGAGCATTCTATTTAATAGAATGATGTTTGGTGATTGTTTCTAATTATACAAAAAAAGTTATTGGAACTAATTACAATTGATCATATGTGATAAGAAGTCTAAACCATAAAGGTTTTGCAGTCAAATGATAGCAAGATAATCAAACATGCCTTAATAGTTCAATGTCATAGAACCGACTAAGTACTATTGCAGGTAAAAAGTGAATTACCATGCACTTTCAAGGCATACAGGCACCAGCAACACCGATGGACATGTGGAGCCGCAAACTTATTTCGAAAGGTGGCACTTGATATCTTGATTGCTAAGGTGAAAGTTTTTCCATTGAACATGGAGGTGCATTTTAATGGACTTGCTTAGTTATTGCTGATGTAGTACTCTTCTTACAATTTTTCATGGTGCAGAATGTCTCAATATGGAAGAAGTTTCATGTGCTTTACAGCTTTTTCTTTGTGCGCAAGATTATAACCCACATAGTCACATTTCTGTTCTATTCAGTCGTGGTTCCAGCATCTGTGCTCGTCCCAGAGGTCAAAATTCCCTTATGGGGAGTGATGTACATTCCAACCAGCATCACTCTTCTCAACGCCTTGAGAAACCCACGGTATAAAACCTTTATATTTTTCCCTCTCTAGTTCCATCTCGTTTTCAGTTATAGCTGGCTAATTACTCGTTGAAAAACTCTGATTCTAGTTCCATCTCTTTGACTGAAGCTATGTTGCTTAAAAACTTTACCGTTTTTTAGAATGATTAATGTCATTATGATATTTCTGTTTTTATTTTGAGCAGTCTAACATTTGGATATCCATACTTTGCATTACTTAATACTCATTAATGAACAAAATAGTCAGCTCATGATAACATATTTTTGGCAGCTTTATTCATATAATGCCATTCTGGGTTCTGTTCGAGAATGTGATGTCCTTGCATAGAATCAAGGCAACTTTAATAGGACTATTGGAGACGGGAAATGTCAATGAATGGGTTGTAACAGAGAAGTTAGGAGAAGCTCCCAAAGCAAATCCTGAAAACAGTAAGCCTGAAGCAACGTCAACAAAATTTAGAGATAGGTAAACAGCATTCCCGCTTTATGTTGTCGGTTTCAGATGAGAAAGTGCAAGTGATCGAAGTATTATTATTATTTTTTGCTTTTCAGGATCAACTTTACGGAGCTCGGATTTGCTGTTTATCTCCTGTTTTGTGCTTCATATGACGTTGTCTATGGAAATAATTACTACTACATATATCTTTACCTCCAAGCCTTTGCTTTCATTGCCATAGGCTTTGGGTACGCCGGAGCTTCTGGCTCAAAATCATAGCACTTCTATTCATACATTGTTTTCGGCAAATTCAGACTATTCTTTTTGTATTCTCTTTATCTTGTTGCAGAAACATGCCAGTGATTTTTTGACTGGGAAAGGCCACGCAACATTAGCATCTACTTCTCTACTAATGAATGGCCAAACTTTTTTTAGCTTTAATTTGAAAAATAAAATGTATTATCTATGTAACTCTGCGTTTCACATGCCATGCAATGCTGTTATATCCTGCTAAATGATTAGATCAAAGTGGTCATAAAATAATAGCACTTTAGAACCAATTGGATAAATCTATATAAAAAATAAGACCTTGAGTTATATATATCGTAAAAAAAAAAGGTAATAGTTTGTGTGCATGTCAAGTTAATCGAGTCATCATGAGAGGCTTGAGTTGAGTTTAACAAATCGCTAATTATGAATCAGTATGGAACGCCAATTAACACTTGCAAAGCCTCGAGTCACCCATGAATGGCTACTCTTACTCGAACGTCGATGCAGAGCTATTAAACTTGATGAACTTATGAAGTCACCAATGGCTTAACACGAGCTCTGTACATGTCACTGCAAACTAGGGGTTGTTGCAAAGATAATTCATGAAGGATATTTGCTCTTAATTTGGAACCGGACTGAAGTTTCAGATTAGCAGCCAGTTCTTGTAGAAGAGATCGATTCTTGAACCAAGGAGCAACGTGAAAACAGAGATAGAAAATTCGAGAGAAATAAAGAAGAAGATAAAATGGTATTGCATATACTTGACCGGCTATTAAAAAGGGATGTCCCATATATATAGAAATGGAGTGGGGTGAAATAAGCAACTAGCCAATGGGTGTGTGCCACCTCATTATTGCTTTATATTTGTTACATCATACTTATCTATTAATAGGCCCCTGCAAATTGATGGGTTCTGGAGAACTATCAGTTTGAGTCGTAGTGTCTGAAACCTTGGAGTAGATAAGGATTTTGTAAATATGTTAGCTACTTGATCCATAGTATTGATTGGAAACAGACAAATGCTTTTGTGTTGTATATGATCACGAACAAATCTTTGAACAATTTGATGTGTTTCGTACGAGTGTGGAACACTAGATTGTTAGCCAAGGCAATAGCAAAAGTGTTGTTGCAGTGAAGATCAGTAGGTTGTGTTTGATGAACTTCAAATTCGGCAAGATGTTTACGAAGCCAGATAGCATCAATGGTAAGAGCGGCTAATGCTTGGTATTCCAATTCGGTTGAGGAATGGGCTACAGTGTGTTGTTTCTTGACCGTGCAAGATATAAGAGTATTACCTAGAAAACAACAATATCCGGATGTAGATATTCGGGATACATGATCTCCAGCCCAATCAGCATATGAAAAGGATGTGAGTTGAAGATTAGATTTTGTAATAGGTATACCAAAATCCAACGTACCTTTGATATAACGAAGTAGTCGTTTGAGCATAAAGGTATGCTGTGGTAGCGAATTGTGTATGCGTTGAGATAAAAGGTTGACGCTGTAGGCAATGTCCGGGCGCGTAAGCGTCAAATATTGAAGAGAGTCTGTGAGTTTCCTGTATAGCATTGGATCAGATAGAAGGTTATCTTGTTGAAAAACCTTTGGTAGTTTCGTACAAGTAGGATTGGCAAGAGAATTGCATTGAGTTAGTTGAGCTTGCTGAAGAATTGGCGTCGCATACTGCTTTTGTGAGAGAAAATATTGCTGCTCTTGACGATCAATTTGAATGTCTAGAAAAGTATGAGCCTCACCAAGATGCTTCGTGGAGAATCTTGCATTTAGTTGATCCAAAATTTTACCAAGTATTTATTGATTATTACCAATAATAAGAATATCATCCACATATATAAGCAAAAGCATTTGAATATGTGATTGAGTAAATATAAAAAGTGACAGTTCAGAGTTACTATTGGTAAAGCCGAGTGATAGTAAGTACGTCGTAAAAGTATTATACCATTGTCTCGGAGCCTGTTTTAAATTGTAAAGCGCTTTGCGAAGAAGACAAACATGGTTTGGATGGTTGGAGTCCTCAAACCCTTTCGGTTGCTTTTTATGAACTGTTTATGTTAGATTTCCATGAAGAAACACATTTGCAATATCGAGCTGTTGGACCTGCCAATTATTATATTAAGCAATAGCAAGCAATATACAAATAGTGGGTAGTTTAGCAACAGGACTAAATGTCTCTGTGTAATCGAGACCAAATTATTGATTGTTTCCTAGCGCAACTAATCGAGCTTTGTATTTAGCATTTGATCCATCTTCATGTAATTTTGTTCGATAGGTCCATTTACATCCTAACACAGATGAGTTAGGAGGTGGAACGAGACTTCAGGTATCCTGCTTTTGCAAGGTAAAAAATTCTTCTGCCATTGCTTATTGCCACTCGAGATGTTTAACGGCTTCGGTGTAAGTGGTTGGATATGGCTGAATTTCTTTTGGGAGGTGCTGATGAATAAGATTCAATCGCACAATTTTCTTTAAAGAACCCGTGACCATATGATGACGAGCAATGTGATGCGGAGACGAAGATTGAGATGTTTGAGTAGGAGTAGTAGAATTGACCGGACAGGGCTGAGAGTGCGGAACATGATTAGGAGCGTGAGATGATAATTCAGAGAGATTGTGAGTGGATTGGTTGTTACTATGAATAGAATTGTGAACCGAACTGGGAGTTAGGAGAAAAGGTGAGAGAGTGCTAGAATTCGTTGAGCTATCCAAATGATGTCAATAAACGGGAAAGAGTGTTCATCAAAGGTTAGATGATGAGATATAATAATTTTATTTGTAGATAGGTCTAAACACTTATATCCTTTGTACATCGGAATAACCAATAAAAGCGCACGATTTTGTTTTTGGTTGCAATTTGTGGCGGGCATGAGGAGGGATAAGTGGAAAACAGGCACAACCGAAGGTGCGTAAGTGAGTATAGTCAGGTCTAGTGTTGTGTAAAAGTTTAAAAGGTGAGATATTTTTGGTGTTGTTGGATACTTGGATGGCATGGAGCTTATTAGATAAACCACAATCAATACAACATCAAGCCAATGAACGTAAGGAACATGCGTCGTATGAAGAAAGGATGTAGTTGTTTTAATAATATGTCGGTGCTTTCATTTAGCGACCTCATTTTGCTCCAGTGTATAAGGACAGGAAATTTGGTGAGATATACCGTGAGCTTGAACTAAGTTAGTAAATATATGATTTAAGTATTCACCACCATCATCAGTGTATAAGCATTTTATTTATTTAGAGGTATATTTTTCAATATGAGTTTCAAATTTAATGAAGATATTAGTGACCTCAGATTTGTATCTCATAGGAAATAACCATGTAAATCTAAAAAAAAAATCAACAAATATAACATAATATAGAAATCCATTTGTCAAAACAACAGGCGCTGGCCCCTAAATATTCGAATGTATAAGATCTAAAGCAGAATTCTTGAGATTTAAAGATTTTTCAAAAGAAAGCTTATGTCCCTTTGAAGTATTACAAGAATGACAAGAAAACTTTTGAACATCTATATGCAAATGAGGATTAGAAGCAGCTATGCAATGTAAAGTGCGCTTATTAGGGTGACCCAATCTATTGTGCCAAGAAAATAAAGATGAGGCAGCCACTGAGTACGCCTAATGCTGGGATGCTATAGGAGTGGTGTGGTTAAGATACAGGACGTTGCTACACGGTCCACGAAGAAGAACTTCGTGCGTCATCAGATCCTTCAAAGTAAAACCATTAAGATAAAAAACGAAAAGAAATATTATTATCTTTTGTAAGCTACGAGATAGATGGAAAATTATATTGAAGATTAGGAGTATAAAAAAGTTGAGAGAGATTAAGCTTACGAGCGGGTGTTTGTAGCAAACCTGCACCGGGATTGGCTATGCTAACCAAGCTGCATCATCTATGATAATGTCATCCGAGACGTGATAAGGAGAAGAAACAATCAAAATTTCAAGAGAGTTAGTGAGATGGGATGATGCTCCCGAATCAAGAAACCAGTCAGTAGAGGATCTTGCATTGCATGCTACCAAAGTTGTGTTGGATTGGTTTGTAGAATTTGGAATATATCGCGGATTTAGACGGTGCTAGCAATTTGAAGCAACATGACCTTTCTTGAGGCAGATTTGATAAATAATGGACGCATTTGTGGCGGGTCGATTTGTATTGTTGAAGCCGTGAGATGCATGGCGTCTGGTCCTACGTCCACGACTCCGGTTGGATAAGAGTGCCAAATTAGGATCAATGGCAGATGAAATGCGAGCTGTGTCGGAGGCAAGATTTATTTCCTCGCTAAGAAGGAGAGCATAAAGATTGTCGAGGCTAATGGGAGTTAACATAGTTTGAATGGAAGTTTTAAAAGATTGGTAAGATGAAGGAAGACTATTGAGGATGCATAGAATTATATCTTTGGTATCCACTTTGAAATCGGCAGAGGCAATTTGATCAACTAAAAATTTTATATCGGTAAGATAGTGTCATAGTGGAGTTCTTGAGAGAAATTTGGTGTAATTCATTTTTTAGTTGGATAACTTTAGAACTATTAATTGACTTAAAACGAGTTTCAAGGGTAATCCAAATATCAGAAGTTGATTCAAGATTTGTTATACAAGGAAGCATCATTGATGAAATTGTAGAACAAATTGCCACGGACAAATTCTTGTCCGTGAGAAGCCAAAGGGAATATGCGGGATTAGGCGAAGATGAGCAATCAGGATGATTAAGAATGCAAGCAGGTTTAGGAAAATTTGGATCAAGAAAAGAATCAAACCATTTGCCCGAAGAACCTTAGAGATTTGTGATCTCCATATGGAATAATTTTCGGAGGTGAGCTGAATTTGAACTATGGTTTTGAGATTTGAAACCACAAACTTCAAGATAGAAGGAAGTGTTAGTGTACATGCCACATCATCTGGGTCACTTACTTTGGTCACTTGCATTTCTTGTTCTTGTAACCGTGTAACAGGAGGCTGCTAGTATATTTATAGGTCACAGCTATTGTATTCAAGATAAGATAATAAAACACTTCTCTTTCTGCTTTACAAGTTCTTCCTTCCCTCTCTCGGGTTGCTTTCTGTCATGGTATCAGAGCACCCTGCCTAGCGGCATCCGTTCTCCTCTCATGGCCGATCTAGGCTTCTCGGCTTCAACCCTTGGAAGTTCGAACATCTCGGCATCCCTGGAAGAATTCTTCGTTCCCACCCTGCTCAAGTTTCTCATCTCCAACCTCAATAATCTTGTTCTCACCCTCCTCACCAATGAGAACTACTCCATATGGAGACTCCAACAAACCCGTCACCTTTCAATCCACTACATCGCCCAGCACAAACAACAATTCGTTCAATCCTATCTAGAACTCCTCACCCACTTCTTCAAATACTTCTCTTCCCTCAATCTCCAATTCCCCTCCACATCCTCCATATCGGTTACACCGTATGCAGACATGGCTCATGTCTGGCATATCCAAACCCAGGAAAATCATAGACTTGTCAGCCATCTGTAAGCCCGAAAATACTCCAACATCCTTTGCTTAGGCCAACAAACATCAACATTGGCGCTCAGCTATGTCTACCGAATACATGGCTCTTCAAAAACAAGCCACCTGGTCTCTCGCTCCACCTCCTCCCTCCCAACCCATCCTAGGGTGCAAGTGGACGTTCAAAATAAAAAAACATCCCAACGACAACATAGCTCAATATAAAGCTCGTCTCGTGGCACAAGGTTGTTCCCAAGAATTCGGAGTCAATTATACATACACATTCAGCCCGGTGGCCAAAATGACGACCATTCGCGTTATGATCACTATAGCTCTCCACAAGAATTGGCCAATTTTACTTCTCGACGTGTCCAATGCGTTCCTCCACGGCAACCTTCAAGAAGAAGTCTGCATGCGCCAACCGCCGGGATTCATCGATCCACATCATCCTGGACATGTGTGCAAGCTTCACAAATCGATATACAGTCTCAAACAATCTCCTAGACAATGGTTCAACAAAGTCACCACGTTTCTCCAAACCTTTGGCTTCACCTTTAGCAAAGGAGTGGGGTGAAATAAGCAACTAGCCAATGGGTGTGTGCCACCTCATTATTGTTTTATATTTGTTACATTAGACTTATCTACTAATAGTTATAAACTAGCGCTTACTCGTCACACATATAAATTGAGCTTATTTTATGTTTTTTTAATCTGATCACATAGCCAAATATGCATTGCTGTTTTAATCCTCACTTATAAATAGGAGATCTAATAGGTAAGATCAAATCAAATAATTAATATTTTTCAATAATATTTATTGTTCACTATTAATAAATATTATCGAAAAAAATAAAATATTTTGATCTTAATAATTTGTAATATTTTAATTTATTTTAAGATGAATTGAACACAAGGCTGATGAATCAGTTTGAATGAGAATAAGCTAACTCAAAATTTCTTCTTTATCTTTTTGATGTCATAGAACACAAAAAATTCACATATAAGACTCTGAATTCTATAATTCGGATCTAAGTCTGGCGGGCTTGCAAGAAATTGATTAGATGTATAGGGTACAAAAATTAAATTAAACTAGTTTTATTTGTTTGGTTCGACTCTGTTGTCAAGCTATAAGTTCGAACTATTTATTATAATTTTGATTTTTTTAATGTTAGTTTTTGTTTTTTAAGTTGATTTTTTTTTTTATTGATCAAAACAAATTATGATTTATACTCATTTATCTAAATGTTAATTTAATAAACTTTTTTAATTATAAATAAACAACTTAAAATAAATAAAATTTAAAGATAATTGGGGAAATTTTTACTACACGTGATAAAATTATAAATTTAAGCAAACATTACTTTATTTTTTTTCTTGAAATAAGATATTTAAGCTGATAATTAATAGATCTATTGTTAAACTAAATTTTCTTTCAGTTCAATTATATTTGATACATCATCAAAAAATTATCTGGATCGGGCACGAATCTTGAGAAAAAATCAGGTTGGAAACTTCTAAAATTAAAATTGGAACCATCTGAACTCCGATTTTAGCAAACTTACAGTCAAACTGAGTGTCTTGGAAATATGAACCCAATGACACCAAAATCGACTCAATCCAAGCCCCAATGGGTCCAAATCAAGGGTCCGAAGCGCCGCTGTAGGGTTCGAACCACAATTTGGATTACCAAACAATTTCCAAACATGACGTGATTATTGTCGAATCGAGCGGCTCGACGAGACGAATCCAACAAGCTCAAGATCACTTAATTCCAACATCACTAAGACATTCAAATTTACATCAACTGGTCCACGATCAAGGGATTCAACATCGGCCGTCCATCCAAGTCACTCCCAATATGCCCTTGATCTACCACCTATTTATGGGTCATGTTACTCTAGAAAATATATAAATAGACCCCTCCTCCCTCTTGAATGGGGGGCTCTAAGTAAGAGAGTAAGAGAGAGATCGGAGATCGCTCTTGCCTCCTCGCTCCTCCTCGACCACCGCCTGGAGTTATGCCAGACCACCACTCGAGGCCCTGAGTTCCGTAGGACAGCCACTTGAGGCCCTGAGCTCCGCCAGACCACCACATGAGGCCCCAAGTTCCGTCGGACCACTACTCAAGGCCCTGACCTTCGCCAGACCACCACTTGAGGCCTTGAGCTCCGCTGGACCACCACTTAACACCTGGAGTTCTGCCAGACCACCACTTAAGGTCCTGAGCTCCACCGAACTACCACCTAACGCCCAAATTTCTGCCAGATCACCACTTGACGCCCGGAGTTCTGTCGGACCACCACTTGACGCCTGAGTTCCATCGGACCACCATCTAAGGCCCAGAGTTCTGTCAGACCACGACATGAGACTCTGACTTTTGTCGGACCATCACTTGAGGCCCGGACTTCTGTCAGACCCCCACTTTAGGCCTAGACTTCTACTGGACCATCACTTGAGGCCCGAACTTCTGCCGGACTACAACTTGAGGCTCGGACCACCACCTGATGCCCAGAGTTCTACCAGAGTACCATCCTACAACTACGATATTTTAGAACCCTGTCTCCTACCAACTACGGTCCTTCCGACCTCTGTCGCCTACTATGGTCCTTCCGATCTCCATCATCATACAACGATTTTTCTGACCTCGATCTCCTGCAAACTACAATCTTTTGGACCTCTATCTCCTGCCGACTACAATCCTTTCGACCTCCATCACCTATTATGGTCATTCCGACCTCTATCGCCAGACAATAATTTTTTTGACCCCTGTACCCTATCAACTACGATCTTTCCGACCATTATCGTCAACTACGATTTTTTCAACCTCTATCTTTTCGACTATATTCGTGCCGACCAAACAAACATGTCCATATTATAACTCCCACCATCTAATGTGCTCTATAAGATGAACATTTATGATGTCAATACAAGGCCTTCTCCCAAGGAAGGGCCTCATTTGTAATTGACTGCAAGTACTAGTGGATTCATTCAAACTGGGCCAGGCCCCATGGTTTTTCCTCCTTTTCAAGGGTTTCCACGTAAGAACTCTTGTGTCTCTTATGAATTCTACACCCTCTACCTTATTTGCTTGTGTGCTAGATCTTCGTACAATGCTAAGACGTTAAGCTATATATTTCTCTACCGCCACGAATATTCTAGGACGCAAAAATATTATATTTGAAAAACAATTTTGTTAGTTTAGTTTTCTAATTTTCAGAATTGAATGCAATTAATTTTCTAATTTGCAAACAAAATAGATTAAACATATCATTAACTTAGAAACTTCTCTCATAGCTACATCATAATCTCCTAAATAAATCACAACACATCAAAAACTTATCAGTGACCAATATCATCATAGGAAGAAATGCAAAGAATCAATTAGGGTTGCAAAAGAACTGAGTTGAGTCGAGTATATGCGTGTTCATGTTTGAGTTCTTTTATTATCAGCTTGTTCAAGTTCGGTTTGAGTTTAATTCAAGCTTTTTTGTTTGTGTTCAAGCTTGGTTCATTTAAACCAATGGGTGTTCATGTTTGGTTCTATTCGATTCATTTTCTGCTTATGGAGATTTATACAAACGAGTCATATCGAGCTATAAACGAGCTCTACTTCTATTACATTGACTTAAGAAACGAGTCTTATCGAGCCTACTAGCAAACTATTAGATTGATCCTATTCGTAAACATATCTAGCAAACTTTTTTAAACTATAAAAGAAGCTCATTCATGAACATATCTAATGAGTATTCTTGAGCTATCAAATGAGCCATTCATGAACATATCTAATTAGCATTTTTGAGATACCAAATGAGCTCGTTTACGAACAAATAGTCTATGATTCATCGTATATTTGTTCAGAGAGTGGGTTGTTCGCAATTTTAGGTGAATACAGGAAGTAAAAATAAAATATTAAAAGATTTTAGATGGGATTAGTAAAAATAAATTATTAAATTTAATAATATATATCTTTTAAAACTCTAATATTATTCTAATCGAGCCCTTAATGAATTTGTTCACGAGCGTTAAAGGGTACTGTTTATAAACAAAAATGAACAAGCTCGTTTATTTAGATATAGAGTATTTATCAAAAGTACACAGCTCACCTTGATTTGTTGGTTGGGAGCTTAGGCTATCAATTGAGAGGTATTGAGTTTGAGTCTTGTGTATGCGATGTGTGTGTCTGCCTTAATTAACCTAAATGTCCAAAAAATAATAATATTTATCAAAAGTGTTCAAGCTCGTTCGTTTACTTATCAAACAAACATGAACAAGCTCTTATCGAGCCGAGACACAAGTAACTAATCCAAGGCTCAATTCATTTGCTTCCCTGGAATTAATCAAGAGACTTTACTTAGTTGATAATTGTTTATCTATGAAATGCAATAGATGGAAGTAAGCAAAGGAAGAGTATATATATATATATATATATATAATTCAAACAATCAATGCATGTATATCCGGACATAGTTTTTTTCATAAGAAAAAAGAAAAAAAAGAAGCGCTGAAATTTCCTCAATGGGCTTATAAACTCTTCCTGAAGACTTAACGTATGGTTAATGGGCTTAGAAGATCGCATAGCGAATTTTATTTAATTTTTTGGAGCCTAGCCCAGTCACTTCAGCAATTTTAATCTTAAGCGCACAACCGCAATTTGGGAAACCCTAACCCTAAGCTAATGGGTTTTTTTCCTTCATCACCATCAAGGCCCGGTCTCCCGAACTTCTCAGCAACGACCCTCCCTTGCTCATCTCTCCCTTCATTTTACGTTGGCAGTCACGCAATTCGCTTTGCCATCGGTATTTTTTTTTAATATATAGGGTTTTATAGTTTCGTATAGATTAAGATATCTGAAATTAGCGTTAAGGTTTGAACCCCCAACTCTTAACAAACGAACTCCATTATTTCGATACGTAATCAAACGTGTTTTCATTCATGCGCCTTATCGTATTGTTTCAGAATTTAATTGTTTGCTATATATGAATTGAATTGTAGTTTTGGCCAACTGTTGTAATACAGTTCACATCGTTTTCCTCATTTTTTATTGTTTTCGCATATTATCACTGCTTAATTTTTTTTCTCTTAAAAGTACAATTATCGGATTCGTTCTTGCTAATGTCTTAATCTTGCTGTTTGTTTCTGTTATACTTACATATTCTTACTGTCGTTGGCTAATTTTCTTAAAAATCTGTGATCTCTGCCTCCATTACAATAGGCTTTTGTACGAATTTTGTACGTTGATAAACGATATGGTTACTGTTGATTCCTTCGCCCGGTTTATTCTTATTTAGAGTGTTTTTGGTGTTAATCCTAGAGATCTCAATAGAACTCCATTCTTCCTGCTGTGCAATTATGCAATAAATCTGAGCCAAAATTGTTGGGATAAGGGTAATGATGATGGGATGAGAAAGTCCGATTTACTTAATATCTTACATATTCAAGAGTTTTTTAACAGTCTTCTTTAATCCTTCGTCCCATTCAATTAATAATGAATGGACTTGGCCTCTTTTTTTGTACCATTTTATTTGTGATGATAAATGTTTCTAATGGAAGTTACTGTTCATGCTATTTGAAAGGATCCTTGTGATTCTTAATGGGTGCTCCGAAACAAAAATGGACAGCTGAGGAAGAGTTTGCACTTAAAGCTGGAGTTGCCAAGCATGGATCGGGCAATTGGCGCACAATATTGAGAGACCCGGAATTTAGTGGCATCTTGTTTTTGCGCTCAAATGTTGATCTCAAGGTGCAGCTTCAACAAGTTTAATTATTATGTTTAAGTTTATTGCCTTCAATATAAGGTAGAAAGTACTGAACTTTCCCCTTTAGTTATGATATATGCTTGATGAAACCTTTTGTTTTCATCATCTTCACTAGCCTTATCACAGTATTTGGGTTAGCTTTATTAATCCTAGTTTTTTATTCATTTCCGCTGAGTTTTTTTTTTTTTAAGTGCAATGTATTCACATGTGACGTTGAACTTCTTCTATCAATATCATCTTATTTCTGACTGATCTCCTTTCTAATTCTTTTACACCAATTTTATCTTCCCTTCTAATGAGTGCATTTATAGGTAAAAGTAGCAGTAACATGCATATAGGTATTGTTTTAGTGGGGTTTTGAAATAATGCTTTTGTGGTTTTCTTACTTATTGTGATTTTGATCAGGATAAATGGAGAAACATGCGTGTGACTGCAAATGGATGGGGATCTCGAGAGAAGGCTAGGGTAGCATTGAAAAAGAGCCGAGCTATTCTTAAACATGATGACAATCCACTATCTCTTAGTACAGAGGTTGAGAACGTTGATGATGAACTCATTGATCACAAGCCTCCTGAAATTTCCAGCGAAATTGTGCAGATTACTGGTTCAAAGAGACCCGTTTCAAAGTCAGTGTTTCCTTTTCATGATTACTTGAGAAAAAATCATTTCTAAGCTGGATTTGTTTTTAATCTTTATTTTAGGAGTTTTTTTTTGCTACCATGTTATTGCTGTTTCTGATTTCATCACTATCATAAGCATTACAAACAGTACTAGAGTGAAATTTCTAGGTCCCCAAAACCTTTGATTTGAGATGTTAGGGTTTGTTAATAATCCTTATCATATTGATACCTGCAAAATCAAATTGAGTTGATATTATAAAGATGTGTATTATGAATCATTGGCTCATATTATAAGTCTTCATGGAGTGATTTTAGAGTTTTCAATCATTTTAAGATTGCATTAAGAATCAAACATTGCATTGGTACCTTTTTGTATCAATTATTGAGATGATTAGAAAGGATATTCAAACAAAGATACATAGTTTATTCTTATGATAGGTGGCAAACCTAGGGTAATTGTCCGTTTTCCTCTACTATGGCATAGAGGTCACAAGTTCATGCCAAATGAAATATTCTCTCTAAAATGCATGGGCAAGCTTGCATATATCAACCCTTGATCATCATTTGTGGAAGCTTTGTACATTGGGCCTACTCTTTTTTTTTTTTTTTTTTTTTTTTTTTTTTTTTTTTAATGGCTGTAATAGGTGAGATCTAACTTGATATAAGTAAAAAATTAAAGTAATTGGGAAATGTTAGAAAATAAGGAGTTTATAGCTTGCAAAACAAAGAGTGAATGTATATAATGCAATTTTAGTTGGTGCATAATTTATAATTATAAATCAGTATATTGTGGGAAGATCAATTAATGCCTTGATGTAAAAGTTAAAGTATAGCGGGTTAAGGAACGGGGAGCTAGATGAGCATAGAAAATCGACAGCTAAGCATGAGATGTTAAAGCGGAGGCATGTTTTAGGACTCTGTGATTATAAAATTTATTCCTAAATTTTGTAAAATTGTTACTAGAGTGAATATTTAATATGGATTTGAGTGTTGGGCGATCAGAAAGTCAATGATTGTGAAGTTGACTGTAATAAAACTGAGAATTCTAAGATTGATGTATGACAGTAATTGAAATGATCTAATGAGGTATTATTATGGAAAATAAACTTTGATGATTTTTTTGCATATATATGTTTGAGGTTGGCATATTGCTGCATTTGTTGGTCAAGGTAACCTTAATCCAAAAGTTTTGCCTACAAACTTATCAATGGGCAACAATTGCGGTAACTAATAGCCCTTTTTCAGTCTTAATTGCCAATAATGTTTGTTTTGGTTAACCTGTCCATCCTTATTTTGTTCGTAAAAAACAAAGCAGATGGCAAAATCATTGGATATTTTGATATTTTCATGAACCATCAATTTTCTCAACTACATATCATTCTTATAGATCTTTATTTTAAAAACTTTCATGCTGACTTAGTTTATCGGGGCAAACATTGATTTTGTGAAATTATTATTAAGTCTTCATAGTTGTGTCAAGGGTTTTTTTTTTTACTGGAACCATCTTCTTTTTGGAGTTGTAAATTTCTTTTTTGTTAACAATTTAACTTGATGATGACTTATGCTGCAGGCATTTTTCTCACGTGCAGGATGGAGGACCTTATAATTGAAGCTATAACATGTTTGAAAGATCCCAAGGGTTCCAACAAGACAGCTATAGCCATATATATAGAGGTATTAGTCCATTTTTAAGTTTATTATTATTTTTTTAATTTTCTTGTTGCAATCTACTTATTACATATTTTTTAGTTATTTACAAACTTACATGTTTTATATGTGAAATTTATTTTTTCCTTGGGAAGAGGAATGTTAAAGTTTGATTTCTTTTTTCTTTGTTTTATAATATTCTTTGTCATCTTTAATTTACTTGTTTATAATTCTCTAATTTGCAATATAGACTCGTAAAGAGCTTTGAAATACTTTATATTTGGCTTAATTAGATTTTCAAGGTCTATGTGATCTAACTTAGAACATATTCCTTTCATCTAAGCAGTCCCTTCTCTTTTCTTTAAGGGGTTTCCTAGTTGCAATCCTTAGAAGGCATGCATTTTAAAAATCTTGAGTAAAATAAATACAATTTATTTTGATTTCTTAGAACTGTCTGATTACCAAAGAAGAAAATGTAGTGTTTAGGTGTAATGTGTTGATTACGTTGTTTCATTAAAATGCATTGTTAATTTTAACTTCAGTACCTTTTAGAAAACTTTATTACTATAGGTAAATAGTTTTTTTTCCAAAATTCAGAAAATTCAACAAGTGATAACATCCATATCATTCAGTCAATACTATTATAATCAACAACTAGAAATCAATAAACATTTTAATAATGAAAACTTCTAGTGATAAATGAAAAGTTCCAATGTCTTTAACATGATAGAAATATAAGTTCATAACAAAATTAATTTCATTTCAATTTAGAGATATAACATAATAAAAAATGGAGGCTCAAAATGTTTATTCTGTCATAAGTCCTGCATACTTTGAACTTAGTTCTCCGACTTCTTGTGCGTTCACTTGGCCTTTGATTCCAATTATTTTGAGAAGAAAGAGTGAATGATAGTAAGATTCTTAGAGAAGTTTATATATGATATCAATCAATTGGTCAATAAAGCCTGGAATACTCAACAACTATATCGTGTGCTCATTAAACATTTTCTTTTCTTGAGTGGATCCACTAGATGTTAAATTTTAATCAAGGTTTAAAATTGCGTAAATAAGCCTCAAGGCGTTTTTCGTCCGTGAGGCGAGGGGTAAGCCTCAAGGCGGTGTGAGGCGTAAGCCTCACGGACGCAGAATTGCATAAATAAGAATTTAAGAGTTTTAGCAGGTATTTAATAGTAATATTCTATCATACAATAAAACATCTAAATGATATGTGAAATTAGTTGAAAGTAAGAAAATAGATGCAATAAAATCATATCCCAAAGTACAAAATCACAAAATATTAGTCTATCAAAACTCCCAAAGTACAATTAAGAAAGAACATATAAAATCCAATCATATCCCATCACTAAATGGGTCCTCAAGGGAATTTTCTTCTCCAATTGTATCTATGAATGTCATATCTTCATCATCTTCAATGTAACTAACTTTTTTCTTCCCTGTTCAATAAGAATGATCATTATCATGTTAATTGCTCACTTGATATAAATATAATGCAATAGCATATTATAAGTTATGAAATACCTTTATTTGGTTGTTGTGCTGCAGAACTAGTGGATGTGTGTGGTGTGGTACTAGTAGCATATCAAGCTTAATCTGCTTCGCCCCTCAAGACATCCACACTTAAATCCCTAGCTGTAGGTCTGATAATGACAAATTTGTCTCATCATCTATGAACCACTCATTATCAGATGACACATAATCACACACCAATGGGTCCTCATCATCCTTCAACCCCTTGTTCCCATCGATTAAAAAGGCGTTCGAGGCGGACGCCTCGAGGCGCGCCTCGAATCGAGGCGGAGGTCGGGTGAACTGAGGCTTAAGCCTCGAACGTCCGGGCGAGGCTTACGCCTTTTTCCACGGAGGCGTACGCCTCAATACATGAGGCGCCGAGGCACATCGAGGCAGCGCCTTGAAAGGGAGAAAGTTTCCTTCAAAGCCAGCGAGCCAACGAGCTCCCGTTATTTCTTCTTATCAAAATGTCATAACTTATGATCCGACAGGAAGGGAAAGTTGTCGAAGGAGCGCAGTCGAACAGCCACAAAGGAGCCAAAGAAGCGACGCGTGTAATCTCTACACCTCCTATGAAGCAACGAAGCCGAACAACAAGGACAAAAAGAGAAGATGAAAGGCAAACCCTAGACGCAGCTAAGTTATTATTGATTAACTTAATTAATATAATTTAAGTATTAATAATTAAGCAAATCAATTAAATACTTAATAGTATAATTAGTGCATAAATTAATTGACTAATTAGTAATATAATTATTAATTAAATATTAATATAATTAGCCTAGTTAATATAAATTAAAATATAAATTATTAAATATATAATTAATAATATTAATAATAATTATTGAGTAGCTTGTATCACTCAGTACATGCTCGGTACCACTAGGTACACGCTCGGTACCAAGCCAGTACCACTAGGTACATGCTCGATATTGCTCAATACATGCTCGGTACCGAGCGGTACATGCTCGGTACCGAGCGGTACATGCTTGGCAATGTTAATTACTTTATTTTTATCATTTTTTAGGCTTAACCCTCGATCCGCCTCTACGCCTCGCCTCGCTTAGCCAAAACGCCTCGATTCCCGATTTCGCCTTTTAAAACGTTGCTTGTTCCTCAACCTTCTATCTCTCAACCTCTTGTTGTGCATAATATACACAAGGGAGTTCATTCTGAGTGTTGAAAGCTAATTTATTTTCTTTGTTTGCACTTGACTATAGTGGAGGAAGAGCCCTTTCCACTCTCGCTCCTGAAGTAAGCACTATGTTCAACCCTTTCATCAAATTGCTCATGTTGTAAGTTTTTTGCCATGGTACTTTTCTTCATGTAAGAATAATTTCATCATTCACCTTGTCCGGTACATTTGCACACGGTGCTACGTTTTTATGAGAGCATGATAAGTGTTCCTTCATGCCGGTAACTCCGCCCTTCACTAATTTTTCGCAAAAATTACATTTCAAATACACATAAGTTTTCTCACCGCCGCCTATGTCAACTTGTACACTGTATTTCCAAGAAGGGTCCCTCCGCAATGACGTATTAGACTTTTCCTTGTTCTTAACCATATTTCCTAAAGGAAAAAAAACAAAATAAAACAAAAAAACTCAAAAAATTTAAAACCCTAGATTTCCTATAGGTTCAAAAATCATATCCTAAACTTAAAAAAAACTCTAAGAACTCTTCAAGAAGAGATGTAGAGGGGCGGCCGGAAATAAAGCACTCACCGGCGAGCGGCGGCGCCAGCGAGAGAGGCGGCGGAGACGTGTGGGAGATCGGCTTTGAGAGCTTGCGGGATCGGGATGGGGAGCTGCGGGTTCAGGAGCTTGCGGTTTGGCTTGGACCGGTACAAGGTAGAGCTTAATTTCATTTTTATTTAAAGTGTGTGGGACAATTTCTATGAGGCGCATGCCTCAAGCAAAATTGCGCAATTGAGGCGCGCCTCACTCTGCCTGAGGCGTACGCCTCATCAAACGCCAAATTGCTTAGGCAATAAGGCGTCCTTGGTCCAAATTGCGCAGAGGCGCGCCTCTTATTGCGCAATTTTAAACCATGATTTTAATTGCATTAGTAACATGGGTACGCTATCTACCCTTACATCAATATAGTCACAATAAGTTTTATCAACACCTTATCCTTGAACCTTCTTGCATGAGATGCAAGCTTTGGAAGATAATGATATTGCTCATTTTATGATACTTGAAGCACATGCTTGACTATAATGTAGAGTTTCTCAATGAATGTTCATTTTAGACCAATCAATAGCTTGGGATATATCTATATCATTCCTTAGATATCCTCAAGATTCATTTTCATCCAATGTAATTTGTAGAGTTCTAAGTGGTTTTTGTTCTAGCTTATGATTTTGTGAGTGCTAATATATCATTTTAGATAGCTGGTGGTGGAATCAATGTGTATAAAAGATTAAAAAATATGAAATTTTGTTATAAAAATTAGTTTAGATGTAAAAATTCAGAAAATTGAAAAAGGTATAGAGGGGCCCGTAAGGAGTCTAAAAAAATAAAATGTTATGCAAAGAATTTAGCTTTTAATAATTCATATAATATATTAGAGGCTAAGGAGGACGAAAGATGGGTTGTGGCTTGGGTGATGGGTTTGGAGGTTTCATGAAAAAACAGGCTCAAAGAGGCACGAGGCGACGCGCTGTATGGCCTGAATACAGCGACAAGTGTGCAAGGGCCGATGCACCGACTTCCGGGTGCAGTGTTAAATAGCCAAGGGTTCCCACATCAAGGATGAATGTGGGCAAAGAAGCTAATCCATGATACTAAAAAACATGAAACTAAATTTAGGATAACAACTTGGAATATAGGTTCCCTTACAGGAAAATTAATGGAATTAATAGATATTATGATTCATAGGAAGTTAAATATTTTGTGCATTCATGAAACTAAATGGGTTGGAGAGAAGGCTAAGGAAATTGATAGTTTATGATTTAAACTTTGGTATTCGGGTAAGAGTCATACTAGAAATGATGTAGGTGTTATTATAAATAAGAGTTTGAAGGATATTATTATAAAAATTAATAGGATTGAAGATAGAATTATAGCTTTAAAGATTATTCTTGATGCTAAGATTGTTAATATTATAAGTGCTTATGCTCAAGTAGATTTGAATATGAGTTTTAAATTAAAATTTTGGAATGACTTAGAAGAATTAATATAAAATATACCTCCTGAAGAAAGAATTTTTATTGGAGGAGATTTAAATGGACATATTGGTAGAGAGATAGATGATTTTAAAAACATTCATGGTGGTCATGGGTTTGGAACGACAAATGGTGGCAAGATCATATTATATTTTTATTTAGCTTATGATTTTTTAATTGCTAATACCTTATTTAAGAAAAGGGATGAGCATCTCATCACTTATAAAAATGGATAAATTACAACTCAGATTGACTATTTTCTTATAAGAAAATTAGATCGTTTAGATTGCAAATATTGTGAAGTTATTCCGAGTAAAAATTTATGTACCCAACGTTGATTATTAGTTTTGGACTTAAGATAAAGGGGCAGAAAATAAAAAATAAAGTAAAATGATATTCTAGGATAAGATGGGGGCATTTAAAGAATATTAACAAAAATATTTTTGAGAGTAAGATTTTAGATCTTAAGATTGTGTCTGTGTATGAGGATGCTCATGTTATGTGGGGAAAAGTGGCTAGTGATATTAAGAATATTGCAAAAGATGTGCTTGGAATATCAAAGGGGAAAACTCATAATAGTAAAAATAGTTGATGGTTGAATCCAAATGTGCAAGAAAAGATTAGAATTAAAAAGATTTGTTATAAAAATTGGTTTAATTCTAAAAATTCTGATAATTGAGAAAGATATAAAGAGGCTCGTAAGGAATCTAAGAAAGCAATATGCGATGCAAAGACCTTAGCTTTTAGTGATTTATGTAATAGATTAGATACTAAGGAGGGAGAAAGATATATGTATAAATTAGCCAAACAAAAAGATAGTAGTGAGGATTTAGTTCAAGTGAAGTGTATTAAGGATGAAGATAAAAAAATACATTTCTTAGAAGATGATATTCAACAAATGTGGATGAGATATTTTGCTAAACTTTTTAATGAAGATTGTGAAAATAAGATTGATTGTAGTGACCTTAGCACCCTGAATGAAAATAAAGATTTATGTTTTTATCGACGTATTATTAAAATCAAAGTTAGAGAGGCTTTTAAGAAAATGAAGGGTGGAAAAGCTGTTAGACCTGATGATATTCCAATAGAGGTGTGAAAATGCTTAGGAGATGAAGGAATTTTTTGGTTTACTAAACTTTTTAATACTATTTTGAAGACTAAAAATAAGCCAGATGAGTGGAGAATGAGTGTGTTAATCCTTATTTTTAGGAATAAATGTGATGCACAAGATTGTGCGAATTATAGAGGAATTAAGTTAATGTGTCATACTTTAAAATTATGAGAGCGAGTTATGGAGCATAGGTTGCGGTGTGATACTAATGTTTCTCAAAATCAATTTGGATTCATGCCGGGTAGATCGACTATGGAAGCCATACATTTATTAAGAGGTTTGATGGAGAAATATAGAGAAAATAAGGAGGATCTACATATTATATTTATTGATTTAGAAAAAGCATATGATAAAGTTCCAAGAGAATGCTATGGAGAGTTCTCGATAAGAAAGAAGTTAATATCGCTTATTTTCAAATCATTAAAGACATGTATGCAGGAGCTATTACTTGTGTTCAAACACAAGGTGGTTTGACCAAGTATTTCCCTATTTTAGTTGGGTTATATCAAGGATCAGCCTTAAGTCCATATATTTTTGCTTTAGTCATGGATGTTCTCATTAGACATTTGCAAGAGGATGTACTTTTGTGTATGCTTTTTGCTGATGATATTCTTCTTGTTGATAAGACTAGAGAGGGAGTTGAAGGTAAACTTGAATTATGGAGGTCAACCTTAGAGTCTAAAATTTTTCGTTTGAGTAGATCTAAAACGGAATATATGGAGTATAATTTTAGTAGTAATAGACCTAGTGTGGGGATTGTGACTTTGGGCGATCAAGTCATTAATAAGAGTACACGTTTTAGATATATTGGATCTATTGTTTAAATGATGGTGAAATAGATGGGGATATTATCAGCAGAATTCAAGTTGGATGGTTGAAGTGGAGGAATGCATCGGGCTTGTTGTGTGATAGAAATGTACCCCTTAAACTTGAGGGAAAATTCTATAAGATGGTGGTGAGGCCTGCAATGCTTTATGGTGCTGAATGTTGGCCATTAAAAGAGAAGCATAATACTAAGTTAAGTGTGGCAGAGATGAGGATGCTCAGGTGGATGAGTGGCTTTACCCTTAGAGATAGGATTCGAAATGAGCATATACATGAAAAGGTTGGAGTAGCTCCAGTAGAAGATAAGATTAGAGAGAGTCGCCTTAGATGGTTTGGTCACATAAAACGGTGGCCTTTCGATGACCCAGTTAAGAGAGTAGAGGTATTAGATTTGACTTATGTTAAGAAAGGTAGAGGTAGACCTAAAAAGACTTGGTTATAAAATATTAGGAATGACCTTTCTTTATTAGATTTAAACGAGAATTTGACTTTTAATAGGTCACAATGGAGGAAAAGGATTCATGTAGCCGATCCCACGTAGTGGGATAAAGGTTTGTTGTTGTTGTTGTTGTAGTATTTACTTTTCCTCACACCAAACATTAAAAACATTAATACACATGTAAACCATTTAATTTGTACTCTTAATACTTGCAACCAAAATGTACCTAAGCTTTTTGCTTGTACAAAAAAAATGCATCAATCAGCCTGCTTTTTATTCTAAAATTTATTTCTCAGTTATTTGTAGGTTTACTTAACTCTATGTTTGGTTGTCAATAAATTCTTATATTTTTGGAAGGTTTGAATACTGCATCTATGGCTTGCTTGTTAATACAGTTTCTTTGTGCAAGACCAATGTATTAATGCGTTGCCATCTGTCATTGAAGCTGTTCCTATGTTTATTAATGTAGATATGGGAATTTTTTGCAAGAGTAGGAGTGTTCTTATAATGATTCATAAAAACATTCTTGCTATTGACTTTTATTTCTATGTTATTATGCAGGATCAACACTTGACTTTTCCTGATTTTAAACGATTATTGTCTGTAAAGCTGAAGGAAATGACTGGATGGGGGAAACTGATTAAGGTAACAGGCTTCTTGATTTGAAATAGTTAGATTGACGGACTCAGTTCCACCAAAACGAAGTTGGTTTTAAAACATTAATGTTACTTACACCATCATAAATTTTGGGCAAATCCTGCAAATAAATCCACCAACCAGCTTGCGCTTGTGATGACTTGGTTAGTAGGCAAGCTGTACCCCCACCCCCCATGCAGCCACATGATGCTTCGATTCCCCTCCAATTATCTGTACGGATGTCTCGGCTTTCCCTCCCATGATTGATCAAAGATGCTTCATTTTTTTCCTGATGTTTCGTTTTTCCCCCCTGCCAGCTGCCCATTTCAATTTCCCCTTTATCAGCCATTTAATGCTTCGGTTTTCTCCCACTTTTGGGCTGTTTTGATGCTTCAGTTTCCCCATAACGGTTTCAATTTTACCTCAAATTTTGAGGAGTTTTCATGGCTGTTTTGGGAGGTGTATTAACTCCCTATATTTATTTTTCTTTCCCTTTATTTTCTCCCCTATAGAAGGGTCTGTTTAAGAGAGATGGTTAGTTTTTGAGTGATAATTTGTGGAATGTAAAACTTGCGGGTTTTCTAGCTTGCGAGCTAGCCTCGTTCTATCTTCCCCTCTATTATTTCATCTCGATCTTTAAACCCCTTCTTTTCTATTCACGGTTCCCACCCCATTTGTATCATTCTTCTCTTTAAAATTTGTAAGTTGCAAGGTAGTTGCATCGTGTCTTGTCCTAATGTAATTTGAGGTGGCTTCTAAGAGTAGTTAGAAGCTTTGTTGTGTCCTATTTAGTGTGTGTTTTGTCATTTTGAAGGAAGACAGGTCTTTTTATTATGGAATCATAGTTTGTGTTCGTCTGTAATTTTTTTGGTTGCATCAATAAAGATAATATTCCAAAATTTTAAGCGGAGATGGTGGTGGCGTGCGGCTTTCTAGTGATCCCCTGCGGTGGCTACGACGACGACGATAGTGACTACAGTGAAGGCGATGGGCTAGAGGTTGAGGCAATTGAGAGGAGGTTGCTGCGGCTTGGGGGTGCAAGGCATGATTTTTTCAAAGTTTAAAATTGTACATTTGGGTATTGAGGCATTTTTCGTTCATGAAGCGAGGCGTAAGCCTCAAGGCGTTTTGAGGCATAAGCCTCAAAATTTAAAAATTACGTAAAATCAAAATAAAAGTTAAAAGTGATTTTTATATAATATCCAAATAATATGTTAAAGGATGAAATATTATCTTTCTATTGAACTATGAAGTAACAAATTTGCATACATATGAAATAAAAAATTATATAAGAGGTAAAGTACTAAGTGATAAATTATATAAAATAGAATTGAAATCCAACTACTACAGGAACAACAACATAAAATATATGAATAGCATAAAAATATCATATAACATCAAGTTCAGCTTTAATTTTTTTCTTTCTCAATTGCCTACTCATATATATTTAATTCCTAAAGAAAGCTGAAATAATTAGCACCAATTTAGATATCATTTGTACTATCATTTATAAGGGGATTTTTATTTGAGTCATTGACATAACAAATTGGTTTCTTCCCTGCCTCATTCTATAGGGTCCCTGCTTCTTCTTCATTTATTTCAATCATTTTCATCTTTCATACATGTTTGTCATCAACGTAAAGATAATACTCCAAAATTTTAAGAGATGGTGGAGGCATACGACTTTCTAGTGATCCCCTGCGGCAGCTACAACGGTAGTGGCTACGGTGAAGGCGGTGGGCTAGAGGTCATGGAAATTGAGATGAAGTTGTTGCGACTTGAGGGTGCAAGAAGGCATGATTTTTCTTTTTTTTTTTGGATTTTTTATAGGATTTAGGTGAGTTTTAAATAAAAAAACATAAACAGAGTGAGGCGTACGCTTCATGCTAGTGGGCGAGGCGCTCCTTAAGGCGGGCCTCATCCAAGATGAGGCGTAAGCCTCACAAAAAAAGCTCAAGGCGTAAGCCTCGAGGCATTTTTTACTGGAATTGCGTTGAGACGGACCTCAAGGCGTCCTCGCATTACAAAATTTTAAACAATGATTTTTTTTAGGCTTTTGTATAGGATTTAGATAAGTTTTAAATAAAAATACATAAATAAAGTGAGGCGTATCCGCGTATGCCTCATGCCAGCGAGACAAGGCATGCCTCGAGGCGGGTCCATCCAAGATGAGGCGTAAGCCTCATAAAAAAAAGCTCGAGGCGTAAGCCTCAAGGCATTTTTTACTGGAATTGCATTGAGGCGGGCCTCAAGGCAATCCTCATATTGCACAATTTTAAACAATGATCATTAGTACTAGTTTTGAATCATAAAATATTTAAAATCTCTATATTAGCAATATCTAACATGTAAACATTAGTATGCCTATTTAAAAAAAGTATATCTGAGCCATTTAATTTAATCAAATAATGTAATGAATAAAAGGTAACCACGTTACTTTTATCATATAATTGACTTGTACTCAACAATTTTATGCTTAAGGCCTTCAAATAATAAGATATTTTCTATAATAGGTGGATTTTTACCCATGGAGTCAAATCCAATCACTTTCTTTTTGGTATTATCTTCAAGTATAAATTTTCCTTCATCCTTTAGTTGTAATAATAAAAAATTGGTACATCCACCTTTCATATTTCTTGAGCATCATCTTTCCAAATATCACATTCCTCCTCCAGTCTAATTATGGAGACACGCTTACAAATGCAAATATAATAGTGAATTTTGGGACCTATCTATGCTTGTATCTATTTTGAATGAAGAGTCTAGAAAATTATGTATTTGCATAAATAAATATATAGGCTTGGTGCCCTTATTTATGAAGAATTTTGATTAGAATATACACTTTCAGAATAATAAAAAGATGTGTGTTTGTAGCATTAATAGTAACATAAATAGCGGCATAATTAAAAATCTATTATCAAAATTCATTCATTAATCATAATTTAAATTTATATTAAAAGACAAGAATTTAATTTTTAAAGGTTAGGATTCCATTTAAAAAAATTAAAACGAATGGTCGGAATTTTGTTTGGAAGGAAATTCAAGCGACTTTTATAATAGTAATATAGATGTAAAGATTCTTTAATGAAATAATTAATTAAGATTTGTACTTTTTTTTTAATTATGAAATATTGAAATTATGAAATTTTAATAGTTAATGAATGAATATTAATTAATGAATTATGCTATTAATTGCTCGAATAGGTATAAATTAAAAATATACTGTAAATAAATATATTAATTATTTATATTTGATTATAGAAATAAATGCAATTAAAATCTTTGGCATTCCAACAATTAGCTGTTACTTAAATAGAGGGGTTAATAATAACATAAATTGCGTCATAATTAACAAATAATAATTAAAAATCGGTTATCAAAATTCATTCATTAAACATAATTTAAATTTATATTAAAAGATAATTATTTAATTTTTAAAAGTTAAGATTCCTTTTTAAAAATTAAAATGAATGATTAGGATTTTGTTTGGAAGGAAATTCAAGCGGCTTTTATTATAATAGTATATATATAGATAATCATGCATTTAAATGTTAGGATTCGATGTTCATCATAAATTTAAGGGTTATAATTCAATATGAGAAAAAATAAAAATAAGTTTTCTAATAGTATATATATGATTTATATTAATTAATAAATTATATTACTAATTGCTATATTTGGTATTAATTAAAAAATAATAAAAATAAATAAATCAATTAATCCTAATTAAATGTAAAAGTAAATATAATTAAATGCATCAATTAACTCTTGCTTAAATGTAATTAAAATTAAAAATATCATGCATTTAAATTAATAAATAAAATTGTTAAATAAGTTAATTAAATTTATAAATAAAAAGAAAGATTGAGATTCATCTTTGATAAATTAAATGAAAGGCTAAGATTGCATTTCTGAGGAATCCCATTGTAAAAAAAAAAAAAAGAGTGGAAGCAGAACCAAGTCAAGATGATATGAATCACCCCTTGTGCCAAGAATCTTACTACCATTTCCGAAGGGACTTGAGCTACTTTTATTTTCCATTTCCATTTATATTAAAAGACAACAATTTAATTTTTAAAGGTTAGGATTCCATTTGAAAAATTAAAATGAATGGTTGAAATTTATTTTGGATGGAAATTCAAGTATCTTTTATAATAGTAATATAGATGTAAATATTTTTTAATAAAATAATTAATTAAGATTTATACTTTATTTTTTAATTATGAATTATTGAAATTATGAAAATTTAATAGTTCTTAATGAATCAATATTAATTAATGAATTATGTTATTAATTGCTCGGATAGGTATAAATTAAAAATATAATGCAAATAAATATATTAATTAATTATATTTGAATATAGAAATAAATGCAATTAAAATCTTTGGCATTCCAACAATTAGTTTTTACTTAAATAGAGGCGTTAATAGTAACGTAAATATCGTCATAATTAACAAATAATAATTAAAAAATTTGTTATCAAAATTCATTCATTAATCATAATTTAAATTTATATTAAAAGATAGGAATTTAATTTTTAAAGGTTAGGATTCTATTTGAATAATTAAAATGAATGGTCGGGATTTTGTTTGGAAGGAAATTCAAGCGGCATTTATAATTGTAGTATAGATATAGATAATCATGCATTTAAATGTTATGATTTGATATTCATCATAAATTTAAGGGCTAGAACTCAATATGAGAAGAATTACAAATCAATTTTATAATAGTATATATATGATGAATATTAATTAATAAATTATCTTATTAATTGCTAGAGTAAGTATTAATTAAGAAATAATAAAAATAAATATATCAATTAATCCTAATTGAATGTAAAAATAAATATAATTAAATGCACCAATTGACTCTTGCTTAAATGTAATTAATGTAAACAAAATGAAAAATGTCATGCATTTAAATGAATAAATGAAGTTAATAAATAAGTTAATTAGATGTATAAATAAAATGAAAGGTTAAGATTCATCTTTTATAAATTAAATGGAATGCTAGGATTGCATTTGGGAGGAATCCCAAGCCACACTCATATAGTAGTTTAGATATAATGGAGAAAAAAGATTCATGTAGCCATTCCCACATAATGGGATAAAGGCTTGATGATGTTGTTGTTGTTTTTGTTGTTTGGGCTTTTAATGAAATTCAAGTCTCATAAACTCTAGCCCATGTAAGGAGTAGGATCGGGGACTTGAAATGCCCACTTTTGCCCAACAAACAGTGTGGTCCTTTTGAGAGCATTATGTATTTATGCTAGTGAATCTGATTTTTGAAACAGTTGGTTTGTGAATTTGCAAAATGATTACACTTTTTCAAATGATAATTGCATGACTCTTAGGGTGGAGGGAATTTTGTATTTAACCGTTTTTTTTTTTTTAATTCAATTTGCATAACATTCTCGAATGTTAAGTTCTTGTATTCAACATATTCGTCGAAGTACATGCAAACAAATTTAATTTTTAAAAGAGAGTCCACACATTTAAAACAATTTTAGGTTTGACATAGTAATTGCATCTTCTTCGAAGGGAGAAGAGTTTGGGATCGATAAAGGAAGATTCATATTTTCATAGGGCTGATTCTAAATAGTTGGGATAAGGATGCCATATTGACGTTGTGGCTCAAACATTTTCCTTATTGCTACCTGAACAGGTGAAGCGCAAATATAGAATGGCACCAAGCCCGGCTATGGTAGAAGGTAGGAAATTGAAAGCATCACATCTTGAAGTAAGGCAGAAGGAAACCTCAAAAGAGGATAGAGATGATAAATCTATCGCTAAACTTCAAGTTGATGCTGAGCTAGCTTGGATGAGAAATATGACAGCTCAAGAGGCTGCAGCAGCTGCTGCTCAAGCAATAGCTGAGGCAGAAAAAGCAATGGCCGAGGCTGAAGAAGCAACACGAGAGGCAGAAGCTGCTGAAGCCGATGCTGAAGCAGCGAAAGCCTTTGCAGAGGCAGCAATGTTGACACTGAAAAACAGAAATACAACTAAGCTGGTAGTGCTTTCTTTGAACTTCTGGACGATTGATTTTTTTTTTGGTATTTCAAATGATTAATCTTTGCAACTGCATGTTTTTTTCTTATTTGCTTCTATTGTTGTTTAGCATGAGCTACATTTTTTCAGCTCTTAGTTAATTGTGCTTCACATGTGAAAAGGTTAGAGTAGCTCCAGTGGCAGATAAGATTAGAGAGAGTTGCCTTAGATGATTTGGTCGCATAAATCATTAGCCTTCCGATGACCTGTTTAGGAGAGTAGATGTATTAGGTTTGGTTTATGTTAAGAAAGGTAGATGTAGACCTAAAAAGGCTTGGTGAGAAAATTTCAGAACTGACATTTTTTATTAGATTTAAATGATAATTTGACTCTTAAGAGGACACAATGGAGAAAAAAGATTCATGCAGCTAACCCCACATAGTGGGATAAAGACTTGATGTTGTTGTTATTGTAGTTTATTGTGCTTCATCCGGTGTAATTTTTCCTCATTTTGCAGCTTTTATTTATTTTATTGGTTTATATATATATATATATATATATATATATATATATATATAATATTGAAATCTTTTCTCCTTTTGATGGTGAAGAATTTTTCGGTTTGCTCGGTTTCAATATAGAATTTTGACTTATCGAACTTTCTTCTACTGTTTATTGTGCGTTAAATGCATTATTATTTGCAATTGACATTACTCTTATGGACAAGAGAAGAATTTGGCAAATACCTTCCGGAAATTAATGTGCTATACCATTTATATGAATTTGAAATTCAACTGATTCGGGTAGAAGACGTAGTTGTTGCCTTATTGTAGTGGGACTTTCATTTTTGTAATTTAATCATCACATCAATTATGGAAGCTAGGGTATTAAATTCAGGGATGGATGGATGCCATTGTCGGTGCTTCAGTGATGCTTACCAACATGATTAGTTATAAAGGGCAAAATTTTGAACCATTAATCATGACTTTGTTTCATAACCTGGTAGACTGGCTGTGCCAGTTTGATTTGACTACTAACTAGTATGTGAGGAAATTAAATTCTACTAGGGATTAAGCTTCCCGCAGTTATGCTGGATTCGACATGTTCTCATAACAGTTATGCAGATCCTTGGCTGCTTTTTGCAATGATAGAAACATACTAGAGTGCGAAATTAAGAGCAATAAATAGGAGAATAAGAATTATATAGAAGCTGTTGAAATGTGTATGTAGAGGAAATATGCTGGAGGAGAAGAGGTTTAATTATTCTCGGAGTGAGGCTAGTAAAGTACATCTAATTCACATGTGCTTTTAACACCATTAGATCTTAATCTAATATTAAATTGCCTTCGCATTTGCACAGCAAATAATATAATTTTATCTTATAACCGAAAAAAGGCAAACACAGCCAGCATGCAAACACTTTCAATTATTTAAATAAAACAAAATAATTATTATATCAAGTCATATTATTTGCTAAGTACTTTAAATAAATAGATAAGTAAAAGATTTTATTATGACATTATGCAGTCAAATTAGTTAGTAAAGAGAAGATCTAAATAGAAATGGACTTAAGCATGAGCATATTTTCTTGTTTTAATATTTTCCTTCTTATATACTCTGTCATATAAATTGCTTGCATGTATTATATTACTTTTTTACAGCTAAAAATTTAGATTTTTTTTTTTTTTTGAATTTTATAAAATTACAATTTGGCATATGATGTTGTGTGAGTCTAAGTATTTGACAATAAAAAAATTATTGATATCTAACTTGCGTGTATCTGAACTTATAATGTTAAGATGGATATTTTAATAATATAAATTATGAAATGATTATTTTAACATAATAGTTATTAATACTAATTGAACATAGTCTTATTTGTATGGAAATGTATTATGAAGAGTAGAAAATGGACATAATAAATTAGTTGATAAAATTAGTGTCTCAGATTTAGAAAGGAGTAGAAATAAAGTAACTTAGATAAAACGATTTGATTAAAGTAAGTGTAACATCATTGACAATTCTCAAAGAAAATAAATGAAAAATTAGAATTTGTAAGTTTGGCCCAAATAGTTGGGATATTGTTGATGATGATAAGAAAGACATAGTCGATGCTGCTTTGTGTACTCCCTAAATATGCATGTTATTTTACACTTGTGATGTATTATTTTCATTCATAAAATATTATCTGTTGGCTAATTCCTAGCAATTTATATTCAATTCACTAATGTAAACTACTATTGGAGTTATCAAACAACATTTTTTTCATTACTTCAAAGAATTCCCATGGGTGTTATCACATTTCTTATATTTAACATATTCTTGAATGATTATAAGTGGAAGAAAACAGAAATTTGACTTTGTATGCCTCATAATGTCCTATCTTGGAGAAACATGTCTGCTATTTTATTTCTTAGAAAAATATGCATGAAAGTTTCGTTCAAATCAAAATATTCTCTTCTCTAGACTATGAATTACTTTTTTGAGGCACTTGTGACCATGATTAATTCGAACAAAATTCAACCGAGGTTGAGACCTTATGCAATAAAAAATAGATCTATAATTAAACATTATTTGAATCGTAATTGAATAATAATTATTCTTATTTGAAAATTTTTTGGATCAAGGTTTGAACATGGTTCAAAAAAAGTTTGAATAAGGCATTGTTAGAATTTTTTTTTTAAGTATTGAATTGAAGGTTCAAATAATGTTCGTTCAATGTTTGACATAATACAACAAATTCAAAGAGCGATTAAAATAGATTAACTTAGCAAATTCAACTAACATAAGTCGAACAATAATCAGATTGGATTTGAATATGTTTGAACAAGGGATATTACAAAGTGCGATCACAACAAACAAAACATAGCAAATTGAGATACAACAAAGTCAACTAATATCCAACAACACATGAAAATAACAAGTATTATATTATTGTACAACCACTTAATGACATTAGTTTAAGAATTATAATTGATCAAAGCAAGAAAACTATTATAAAGAGTGTGGAATCTTGACCTTACTAGTAACTTGATTATAGCCTCCATATCAGTTTCACCTATGCTAGACTGCATCCTTTTCCCTATTTGAAGACCTATTTTTCTTTGGACAATCATTTTTTTACTTCACCAATTAGTTGATACGACAACTGTCTTTATTTCATCTGAAGCCTACAAGGTGTCTTCTTTTTTGACTAAATATATGTTTTTAGCATATGTAACTAATCATGCTTCATGTGGATAGAACTTTGAACATATTGTATAGTAAATGATACCTTGTCTTGAGGTGTGCCAATGCATATTTGCATGGGAGATGTACATGTTCTCTGCAACAAATTAATGTCATCATTAAGGTCACCATAAATAACATGCAGTTCAAATTGACCAATAAGGCACTCAGTCATACTTTGAGCCTTATTCAATAACTTTCTCAGTGGTTCTTAGATTTCCTCTACTAAAATAATTTTTGTGTTCGCTATAATGTTGCATCTATTAAAGAACCGCTTTTTATCCATAATTTTGTCACTGGGTAGGAGTTTATATTCTTGGTGACATTGTTGAAACTCTTTGAAATATCGAATGTCATTAAGTTTTCTTGATTTCTATGAAAGAAAGCATGAGCCTCTCTCTCAAAACTAACTTTATTCTCGGGATAAGATGTTATGACAAGGTTTTTAATATGAATTTTGTCAAAGTATCTAAGAAACTTTACTCTTCTATAAGCTTTGAAAGTTACGTGATACTCTTATGACAACTATATGTTTTGAACTTTGCTGTGATATTCATTGCCACATTATGAGAGCAAGATCCATGGTGTTCTATGCAAAAATGGATGATAAAATATTGACAATATTTTTATGCCTATTAGAGATAAACACCAAGTTTTCATTGTGCATATTGACTCCCCTAGCCTGGTCGTAAATATGAGTTAATGTTTTTTTAGTTAACAATTTCAGATATTTAATAATAAATCTAAGTATTGGCATATTGCATCTTTACCACAAATAGAGTATATTTGCAGCATGTATTCTAGGATTTATCATCCACACTTAATATTGGGTGACATGAATTTTTTAATCCTTGAGTACAAGCATCCAAAAAAAATATGCATATTTTAAATAGCCGTCACTGCCATGCTATAGATCAACTGAATTTTTTTTCAATGTAGCATACCATATAAGCTGATAGCTTTTGAAGGATGCTTAGGGAGACTCACATTGATTTGTCTTACAAGAAAGCTCAACTCTCCAAAAAAATATACATATTTGAATTTGCCAAATTTTTTACTCAGCAAGCTCCATAAGCACGTTTCTAAAAACAATGGATGTATCATACTTTTTTACCTGACTACCTTCCCTTAAATTTAAAATTGTACTTCTAGGCATATACATGTAACATTTTCTTCAACTCATAGTTGTTCAGTACGCGACAACTCAGAATATGATGCTATCAAATCAACGGCCTTTGAATTTAAGGTACTTTCAAGCATTGGCTCTTATAGGTTTAGAGTTATTCATGTGTTCTTAATCTATTGAATTATAACATATAGCCCCAAATTATAAGAAAAATCAGAAGAACTAAGCCGTTTGTTAGTTTCAGGTTGAGATCATAAACTTGGGTTGACATATTCAATGGATGCGCAAGTTTTAAAACATTCATTGAATCACAATTACCTGCAACCTATACACATATAGTATCCCGTATCTTTGCATCTAAATATCTGCATCATTGCGTACACAATCGAATGATGGTGAACTTACTGATCTTGTATTTGCTTCATTTGTACAAACAACTGCAGTTGAAATCTTCTTAGGAGTGGTGGGCACACATATTGGAGCCCTAATGGATAAGAAAAAAATCATGTTCTAAGTTGCTCATTTGGAGAAATTGACGGCGCTTCACCAAAATGATGCATCACCTCTAATTTCATATTAAGTTACTTCTTATCAACATTTTTAACTTCATATATAAGATTATTGAGATTGTTTAGGGAATTTTTCTCTACATCTTCAATCCTTTGCTTTGTTTTTCAATGAATATCTAACCATTTTGCACTTTTTTCCTTTCATTATTCTCCATACAATATAAGAATATTGATGCTTGATTTACCTATGAAAAATATCAAGTCAGCTTGATTTACCTATGAAAAATATCAAGTCATTATACAACTTCACTATTTTTCGAACATAGATCGAATTGATCGAATCATATTCGAACATTGATCGAATAATAATCAAACAATGATAAAATATATTCAATCCGCAATTGAACTATATTCAGAGACATGGTCGTATTTTATTCAGATCAAATTAAAACATTTATCTAGTTAAGATATGATATTTTCCTTATTCTTCAAGTAATGTTCGAACATGATTCTAATAAAGAACAACATACTCGTTGATGCTATGAACCATGTTTGATATTGATTTTAATAAGATTCAAACACAGTGCATGCAGATTTTTTAAGCTAGACAGGTCTGTTGCATATTGTTCACCATTTTGCATGAAGCATCTTCTTTACTTTTTGATACCATGGTGGTACTCCCTCCCACCTCTTAGCAAAGATTTTAATGTCATGCAGTGATATGCTCGCTTCCTTTCCATCTTCCCATCTTCATTGATGCCACTAATGATGTCATCAAAAAGCATGTTCTCCTTTATCTCCCTTCCCCTCACCTTCCTACTTCAAGTTCGTTCTCAATATCAATATCGTTGCAATAGGCTATTTCTCCTAACTTTGGGCTTTGTGTTTCCCTTGCTTATCTCTCCTTGACAACATAGTTGGCATGTAATGGTTTGGTTGTTCTCCCTCATCATTTATGATGCCACTGATGATGTATTCAAACCCACACCTTAATCTACCTTCCAAAATTTCCCTCCTCTTTTAAGCATGTTGTTATGATTGTCGCTTTTCTTTGTGATTGCAACTCCGTTGCTTCCACCTCTTCGTCCGGCTAACTTTTAGCCGCCTTGGCTCCAATTGTCCTTTTTTTCTCTTCCTTGAATGCCTATCTGCTCAAAGTGCTCGTCAATCAAAGTTCAGACATTAAAAGGGATAATTTATTGACCCACATAGCCTGCTAATTTAATTTGTTATACATTGGTAGCTCCCTTTCTACTAGTCTTGTTGTTACTATTTAGTGGCTGTGTTTTAGTTCAAAATTTAAATACTAGTTTCATTCTTAATGCCATCTCAAGACAATTTCTGCTGACTAATTTGTTAATGCAATAAGGTTTAGCTCTACCTGATCCACCCTCTCTTTTTCCACAAGTTTTGATTCTCTATAATGGTTGTTTCATCTTAGCCCTACAAACCTCTCTCTCGCTCCCTCCCTCTCCCTTCCACTCTTTCTTTCCTTCTCCCTCTCCCTCACCTTCTCCCCCTCCCCTTCCCCCTCCCTCTGCCGCCTCTCCCTTTCCCATTCCCCTTCTCCCTCCTCTCTCCCCCTCCCCCTCCATCTCCCTCTCCTTCCCAAACTTTCTCTAACTCATTGCTATCTTTTCAATTTCTTAATTAAAATCCCGTGTATAATGTTCTTTTATGCTTTGTTTTTGTTTCTTGCACTTATAATTTACTCAGAAGTTAGCATGATCTACCAGTCTGAATGTTCAATGCATAAATTCATTCAAATTACCCAAGGACATTGATATCATTTATGAAGAGATCTGGACTAAAGTCAAAGAAGAAGGACAATTAGTGTTGAAAAGATCAATTCTTCTATGTTTATTTATTTCATGAGTTTGGGAATGAGGCAGAGAGGTTTGGCGTTAGTAAAAACCCTTTATGTCAAGGTCAACACTTTCACTAACTTCCTTGTTATGAAAAATTTATTTGTATGAATTGCTTAACTGTCGTTAATATTAGAGCCATCTCAGACCTGTCTTTAATGCACATAGATGATCCGCACATGAAGAGGATTCAGTGGAGCCTTTTCGAAGTTTTGGAATATCTAATGCCCATGACGCTGCATCATTTTTTATCAGGGTTCTGTATGACTGGCACTGATGTGTCTTGCAGATATCTTGAAGATAATCATCTTTAATTTTTTTTCCCTCTAGTTCAGCTTGTAATCATTCCTTCTTAATCATTCTGTTCACATTAATGGATTTTTTGAGTAATGAGTTTTTCACTACAAAGTGGTTTATTTGTTCTGTTCATATATACGGCATTCAAGCATTCATAAATTTTTTTTTCTGATATGTCGATATTCACATTTTTTAACTATGTTCTTAGTAAAAGATTCTACTGTTGTTTTGTCTTGCATACATGCTTGAGCTTTGAGATTTTGGCCTATCTTGTTGATCCCTTTTGTAGAGTGTAATCAATTGAAGCTAAATATGAAATCAAGTGTTCAACTTTAGTAGATGAAATTAGAGCATGGATGTTTTATTGAAGTTTGTGGAAAATGGATCACAATCTATCTGATATTTACCAATTTTGTTCATCTTACTGAGGCACTGTCAGATCAGGTGCCTCTTTTATTAACTGTTTCGATATTTTCTCCTAGTTCACTCTCCTGTCTTCTTTTAATTTCTTTAAAATTAGCTTATTTAAGTTTTGTTTGGGATATTTTTTTTTTGAAGGAAATTTTTATTATAAATTTTATTTAAATTAAATTTCTTTAAAAAAAAAACTGCTTAAAAAAGTCCTAATAAAACTGTCTCAAATCAAGGCTTAGGCTTCATTTGGGATGGCTTTTTTGATGCTTCTTAAAGCAGCTTTTTAGTTAAAAAATTAAAAAAAAATTACTTTAAGAAGCAATAAAATAGCGGTCCCAAACGAGACTAAGGAAACCTTAGTCGTATTTTAGAAATGGTGGATTTGCTGCCGGATGCTGTCCAGAGTGTACTTTTTTTGGGAAATGTCCAGAGTGTACTTACCGAACTTAATAGGGTTGTTTGATTGACAAGACACTACCTTCGGAACAAATAGTTTTTCTATCCAAGCCGTCTTTCAATTTTTTCTTTTAGATTTAAATTAAATAAGAAATATATGTGCAATTTCTAAATAATTTTTTTATTTTTAATATTTATTAATTATTTTTTAATAGAGTTGCAAAACCAAGAAACAAAACCTAAATGTCTTAAAAAATTGATCTAATCAGCACAAAATTAGGCGCAAATTTCATGTAGCAAAGTAACAATATGGTTGAGCATGAAATTTTTAACCAAAAGTAATTTTGGGATAGTATGAATTGGATTTTTACAAATTTATGATTAGAATGATTGTAGAAATATGAGCTTCTTTGTCTTTTTAGCAAATTTGAGATTTTATGCTTGTTGCGTTCTAGAATATTTGTGGCGGAAGAGAAATATAAAGTTTAGTGTCTTAGCGTTGTACGAAGATCTATCACAAAAGCAGATAATAGAAAGGGTGTAGTGTTCATAAGAGACACTAGAGTTTTTACATGGAAACTCCTGAAAAGGAGGAAAAATCACGGGGTCTGTTCCAGTTTGAATGAATCAACTAGTATTTGCAGTCGATTACAAATGAGGCCCTTCTTAGGGAGAAAGCCTTGGCTTGATTTTAAAAATATACATTATATAAAACGCATTACATGGTGGGAGTTACAATAATTAACACAGACATGTTTGTTTGTTTGGCAAGATCATGATTGATAGGATAGAGGTTGGAAAGATCGTAGTAGGCAGGAGATCGATATTAGAAAGATCATTGTCCGACGATTTAGGTCAGAAGGATCGTAGTATGCAGGGGATCGAGGTCAAAAAGATCATTGTAGTAGGGCGGTACTCTGGTAGAATTCTAGGCATCAGGTGGTGGCCCGATAGAAGTTCGAGCTTCAAGTGATGGTCTTGCAGAAGGTCGGGCCTCAAGTGGTGGTCCGGCGGAAGTCTGGTGCTCATATGGTGGTCCGATAGAAGTCTGGGACTCAGGTGGTGGTCCGGCAGAAGTTTGGACCTCTGGTGGTGGTCCGGCAGAAGTTCGAGCCTTATGTGGTGGTTCGACAGAAATTCGGGCCTCAGGTGATGGTTCGACAGAAGTCCTTGCCTCGGGTGGTGGTCCAGCAGAAGTCCAGCCTTAGGTGGTGGTCCGGGGAGCAACAACGTTAGGCGGTGGTCTAGCGGAGGTGAGGGACTCAAGTGGTGGTCCGGTGGAGCAACGACGTCAGGCAGTGGTCTGGCGGATGTGAGGGCCTCAAGTGGTGGTCCGGTGGAGCAACGATGTCAGGCGGTGGTCCGGTGGAAGTGAGGGCCTCAAATGGTGGTCCGGCGGAGCAACGACGTCAGGCGGTGGTCCGGCAGAAATCAAGCGGTGGTCAATGAGGAACTTCTTCCTTCTCTTCTTCTTTCTCTTCTATTCTTCTCTTCTTGCTTGGAACCTCCTCCTCTCAAGAGAAAGGATGTATCTATTTATAGATTTATAGAGTGATATGGCCCATAAATAGGTGAGAGATCAAGGGTAAATGAGTGGTTGGATGGACGGCCGATGTTAAATCCCTTGATCAAGAACCGTTTGATGGACATTTGAATGCCTTAGTGATGCCGGAATTTTGTGATATTGGGCTCGTTGGATTCATCTCGTCGAACGGCTCGATTCGACTTTAAGTACGTAATTTTTGGAAACCGTTTGGTAATCCAAATTGTGGTTCGAACCTTCCAACAACGCTTTGGGTCCTTGATTTCGACTTATTTGGACTCGGATTGAATCGAATTTGGTGTCATTGGGTTCGTATTTCCGAAACGTTCAGTTTGACTGTAAGTTTGCTAAAATCGGAGTTCGGATGGTCCCAATTTTAATTTCTGAAGTTTCCAATTTGATTTTGCATCGAGATTTGTGCCCGATCAAGATAATTTTTTTATGACGTATCAATACTTAAATCATTTTGGTGGGAACATAGCCAAACTAGACATTTATTTATTGATCAGGGTATGGTGTTATTTAGTGTGGGATTTGTCTATAACAACAGGAATTATTCTAGTGTAATCTTGAATATAGATTAAAATAGTCCTCTCAAAATCTAGTACATTATTATTCTCCTAATTTTGAATATTATGAACTCCAAAGATTTTAGAGAAATTCTATGCTCTGGACCTCTGGTTGGCTTTATGTTTTTTATTTCTCTAAATCTACAATTGATTGCAAAATTTAGAGAAATAAAAGATATAAAGCATAGAAATTCTGACAACCTTTTAAGTTTTTAACCTCCCTCTGTCACTCACAATATCGAGAAATTATTAGGTACGGAGTGCGGACGGGTGAACCGTCCGCACACTAGTATAAAACCGCGCTCGGTACCGTTCGGTACCACTCGGTACCACTGGGTACCGCTTGGTACCCTGTGTCTGTGCAGACGGTTCTCATCCCGTCCGCACTCTGCACCTAATAAAATTTCCACAATATCAACGCCTATAAATTATCCGCTTCATCAAAGGCATGGGACTTTCTTCTTAGAATAAATATTATATTGGCAACTTCTCTCTTGGAAAAGGCTAGCCAAGTTACAACTGTAATTCTTTTGAAGACTTACTGAGTGGGCTGCACTCAAACATAAAAAAAAAAACCTATTTTTTAAAGTGTTATCAAATTTGAACGCTTGCCATCTTTAAAAAAAAAAATTGTTTTGATTCACATAATCAAATGTTTTAAGTGGCATGAGTTATGGTTTTACTTATTAGAATATTTACATAAACAAGCAGGAGCTAGCTAATAGCGGATTAGGATTATATATATATCACATATGTAAGATTTGAATCAAATTTTTTGATTGATAATCAAAGCCCCAATCAGTAATAGATCAATATGAGCTTCTTGGAATTAGGTATATTGCCGCAAGCCCTTTTTAAAAAAAAAAAAAAATTATTATTGATTCTGGTAGTTTTGACAAGTGGATCGATCACAATTATGAACTAAGCCCAGAAAGATAATTTAGATAAAAGGAAAAAAAAAAGGTAAAAATAGACAAACACAGTACAGATGTATCAGAAAGGATAATAAACTGCAAATGTCTAGGTAACATATTACATAATTAATAGATAATCAGCGGGTGAAGGTTTGAATGATGGTGTTGTGCCATGGGTCTGAGAGGTGCTGCAGCAGATTTTCAAATGGGCCTTTGCCTGTGACGTTGTGCTGTATGATGAAGCCCAGGAACGCCAGCATGGCCAGTCTCCCATTAGCAAGCTCTTTCTCTTTCGCCTCCAATGTGGGTTTGAAGTTGAGCGGGTTGAAGATGATACCCCCAGGATATCCCACCTCATTAGGAGGCAGGCTATAATTCTTGAAGATGGGATCCTGATTCACACTTCCTGGGTTCTTTATATCCTGCCAACGCCTGATCTCCACATAGTGAAAGAGGATGAACTCGATCACGAAGAGTGTGGAGGAGGAGGCGAAGTAATCTGCTTTGCCGGCGTCGTACCATTGGGGGGCGTTGATGAACCCTAGCTTAGTCAAAACCTCAGGAAGAATCATCCCCGCAACCCCAAGCATCGCCCAACGCCCGTTCACCAGCTCCGCCTGAACGAACCACCTGAGGTTCTCCGGGTCCTCCGCAAGCCCCAGTGGATCGAACCCGTTGTCCCCTGGCAGACTGCACCGCACCCGTTATTCATTTCATCACTAATTATATATATATATCTATGTCTGCTAGGCTTTAATTAATGGAATGACATATTGTTATGCTTAATTTACCTCCCGTCGAGATAAGACGGAGATGTGAGGCCAGGGAGCCATTCTGCCTGCTTTGCTTCCGCTTTGAGGGAGGATGCAGCAATTGTAGTAGTGCTGAAGGATGCAGGGGTGGCCGGCCCCGCCGCACGGCCTAGCTTGCCGGAGGAGCCCGTCAAGAATCGCGGCCGCGGAGTGGCCAGCGAGGCCTGGGTGCTGAATATGGCAGCCATCTTCATTAATTATTAACTTGGGCGCCGCTTGGCCGAAATATTCGAGCGGTTGTAGCTGATGCGAAGTTGCAGCCGGCACGGCTTTCAGTCGTAATTTGTACCACTCCGGACACTAAATTTTATTTGTGGTCTTCATTTGTGGATGTCATCTAACCGTTGGTTCTCTGATCTTTTGGAAGTTGAACGGGTGGGATGTCTTGGATGTTGAGCTGTCCAATGGGATATCTTGCCCCTTATCCCACCTTATCTCAATTCCCAATCCTGGAGGATCAGTATCTGGGATTCCATTGGTCCCTGCAACTTCCAATGGGCCATCTCCCCACTTTCTCTCTCCTTACCCACTTGCTCAAAATTTGCCCGATCTTCATCGGTCACTCATAACAAAAATTACGTAAATATTTTTTTATAAATGTTTTATTTTGTATCATAGAATTTTTTTTATATAGATGCACTCCAATATTGTTAAAGGCTTAGAAATTTTTAATTATGCGTTTAATTTTTTAATTATTTTGTAATATGCGCTAAAATATTATGTTAATTTAAATGAAATAGTCTTTATAAAAATATTTTTTGTAAGTATTGTTTATAAAATTTTCATATGTTCTTTCTTTTTTTTTTTCGTTTTGATTTTTTTTCTTGAGTTATTTGATAATCTCAAAACTATTTTGGCTTTTTCTTTAGTTGTTTGATTGACTGAAAAAAATATAGTGTAAAAATAATGCAATGTAAAGAAAAAATATTTTGGATTTGTTTAGATGAGTATTGATATATCATAAAAAAATTATTTTGATCAGACACAAATCTCGAGGCAAAAACAAGTTGGAAACTTCAAAAATTAATTCGGAGACCATCTCAAATCTGATTTCAGCAAATTTATAATCAAAGCATCTTTGAAAGGTTCAAACCATATTTTGGATTACCAAACAATATCCAAATATGAGATGCTTATAGTCGAATCGAGCAGCTTGACATGATGAATCCAACGAGCTCAAGATCGTCAAATTATGACATCATTTAGACATTCAAATGCCCAACGAATTGTTTTTGATCAATGGATTCAACATCGGCCATTCAGTCAAATCACTATAAATAGACCCCTCATTTCTCATTTGGGGGGGGGGGGGGGGCTTCGTTGCCAGAAAATGATCTTTACAACCTTCGTCGCCCACCGACTACGGTCCTTCTGACCAAACAAATACATCAATAGTGATTTTTTGTATTTATATCATGTAATGTACTCAATATGATATACATCAAGCTAAGGCCTTCCCCCAATGAAGGGTCTCATTTGTAATCAACTACAAATAATAGTGGATTCATTCAAACTAGGTTAGGCCACGTGGTTTTCCCCCTTTTTTAGAGATTTTTCACGTAAAATCTTGGTGTCTCCTATAAATATTGCACCCTCTCTCTTTATCAGTGTTCGTGCTAGATCTTCGTACAAAAATAAGACGTTAAGCTTTATATTTCTCTACCGTCACGAATACTCTATGACGCGACAGTTTGGCGTCGTCTGTGGGAACGTGGTTCCCGATTAGGGACAAATTTTGCTCCAACCTCAGAAGGTCATTCATGTCAACTTACTAACATCAGCCATTACTGCATCAATTTCATAAGAATCAGATGCAAACTGGGGGCAACTTTGACTCCAACCGTGGTCAAAAAGATCCTCAAATGTTTTCAACATCAAGATAATATTTCAAGAAAATCCAAACAAATATAAGGAAGCAGAAAATCCAAACAAATATAAGGAAGCTTCTAATCAATTATAAGCTTTATAGAGTCTAATGCTGGACTTTTACTCCTTGGGCAATGTCTTAATCTCAATCTCAAAAAGGCAATAACGGTATAAAGATAGATCATTCTTCACCTTTGATATGAGATACACGCGGCATTCGCCCCCTCCCTATCAAGGAAAAATTGATCCCATGGGAATTCGATTCGACCTCTTCCATATAGGTTTACATCATCGAGCATAGCTTTGACATACAACCTCAGAGAGATCATACATCATTGGTGGATTCTCTCGACCTCTTTCACACCTGTTAATATTATCGAGCAGGGCTCTAACATATAATCTCGGATATGTCATACATCATTGCATGTTAGATTCTCTCGACCTCTTCCACATAGATTAACATCATCGAGCAGGTCTCTGACATACAACCTCAAATAGGTCATACATCCTTAGTGGATTCTCTCAATCTCTTTCACATAGGTTTACGTCATCGAGCAGGGCTCTGATATATAATCTCGGAAAGGTCACACATCATTAGTGGATTCTCTTGACCTCTTTCATATAGGTTAACATCATCGAGCAGGGTTCTGACATACAGCCTCGGATAGGTCATACTCCTTGGTGGATTCTCTCAACCTTTTTCGTTTAGGTTAACGTCATCGAGTAAGACTCTGACATACAGCCTCGGATAGGTCATACATCTTTGGTGGATTCTCTCTACCTCTTCCACATAGGTTAACGTCATCGAGTAGGGTTCTAATATACAACCTCGGATATGTCATATATCATTGGTGGATTCTCTCGAGCTCATGGACGCCATTGAAAATGAGGAGTTCTTCATACGCCTGATACCCACAAAAGGACACCTTTAAGTACTACAGTTTCCACAAGAGCCACTAGAACAACATAAAAGAGTACAAGCACTTCCATGGTCTGATGGAAAACTAAAGGAGTTCATCATCATCAACCCTGATAGATGTCCTTAGAAGGTGCCTGTGGAAGATCAAGGGAATGAGCCCATTCACGCTCACACCATTCACATCTCAAAAGGGGAACTTGTCATTCTCAAAGGAGATAAAGTTAAAAAATCATGGTAAGTGAGTCTTAAGAGATCCCACACAGGAGGTTAACTCGACCATAACATCACAAGTGCCTATGATCAACGTCCTCCCAATCACCTTCTAGAAGGCATATATAATAATATGTGGAAGTACCATCAATATTGCCATTGTAGCCACAATAAGGATCACCAACTATCAGATCGATAACATCCTTATTAATTATGTGCTCTAGCTAGGTTGGAATAAGTTATGATGAGATGTTGTAACTTTAATGATAAAATTTTGATGGTGCACTTATAATGCGTTTATTATAAGAAAAGAAAAGCTATGATATTAAAATGAAAAAAATAAAGCTAATATAAATATTGGGGCAATTATAATTGTCGCTTTTGACACTCGGGTCCTTTATCCCTTACATGTTCTTTCTAGGTTTGTTTAAGAAATATTTCTTACACCTACACACTTGGTTTTATTATGTCAATTATACCAAAAAGGAGATGTACATTGTTGTATGATGCATATAAAGAATTTATGGAATATGGGTAAAATGTTACATCCACGGTCAATATATTAATCTAGGGAGTGAGGTAATTTTACTGTGGCACATTTAATATTGGGATGGGATGCATTCAACATTTGATGTGAGGATGAGGATTCACTATGATCGTGGGGTCTTTTGGGATGATTGAAAATTTTTCTATTATGGTGAAATGTGAGAAGGAAATGAAAATACAAAAAGGAGATGAAGATAATTACATAGAACATTGTTAGAGAAAATTATATATAAAGAGGCCAAGTGAAGAGTATAATACCTTATATAGTTCCTTCTCCTGACAAGCTCCTTCCTTCTTTTAACTTAGGCTTAGGAGATGAGTGGTAGAGATTGTTGATAGCTAAGAGAAGAAGAGAAAGGTGTTGCAATCTAGGATTCATAACTTATGATTTTGATGATAACAAACATTGTTGATTGAAATCTTAATTCTTTTAATATATATTAGATTTTATATTTTTGTGCATACTAATATTTCAGCTACATCATATACCGCTCAAAATTGATTAAGAGTCAAGCATTGGGTAGAACAAGTTGTCTTTCAAAAGAGTACGTAATTTTTATTTTCTATTATTTTATAGTTCTTGAGTGGCAATATAAGGGTATACGCTAAATTGGCGTTATGCACACATATATAGGGGAGTGAGAAAAAGCGAGATGATATTTTTTAAACTAATAGTATCATACGATTACGATCGTACTGTATGATCAATTATAAGGAGGAAGATGATTAACAACTAATTATGTGATTAATGCTAATGAACTCATTGTATTGTATGATGTAGATCATCCTGTACGATTTATTTCCATCAATAAACTCTAGCCGCCACATAATTTAAGCAAGTACTTTAAAAATAAGATTTTGAACTAATCTTACTGTATGATCCTAATCGTGTTGTATGATATTTAGTATCTTACTTAAATTATTCCCTATGCTTAGTCAACTAAAATAAGGTTTAATAAATATGACTAATCATACTATATAATTCAGATCATATCATACGATTGACAGAAATAAGTCTGGTTACCTGGAAATCATACTAGATGAAAATCTTGATTTTTTAAGTAATTGTACATTACGATGTTGATCATATTATACGAATGCTTGATATTTGAACTAAACGTACTGTAGGATATTAATCGTACTAGATGATTTTAAATCGTCCCAATAATCATCATGTATGAACTAAGAGAAATTGAACTAATTGTACCTTACAATAAATATGCTTAATTTGAATAGTTTGTTTGAACGACTTTTCTATCATACTGGATGGACCCATATTTTGGACTAATCGTACTATTTGAACCCAGATTATATTGAACGAACAGAGATGATCTAATTGAAAATTTAGGGTTTTTTTAAGCCTTGTACTTAAGCTACTCAATGAAGTTTTTTGGAAAGACTTTTGTTGTTGAAGGAACTATGAGGGAGAATTCTTAAGAGAGCTTTGGGCTTAGAAAGGGAGAATGTGAGGTTGTGTGTGTGGGAGAAGAAGTTTGAGGGGTGTTTACACGGTTGCTCCAGAAAAGCTTGCACATTGCTTCCTCCAGTGGCCTTTGTGGGTTCTTGCAGTTGCTATTGCGAGAGAAGCTTCAAAGTCGGGGTCTACCCTATGAGGGTGGAAAAGGATTGACAGATCTCTACCATCAGTAGGAGGGTGAGAAAGATTTTATGGGTTCTTTGCCTTCATCTGAAGGGTGAAAAAGGGTGGACGATGACATTTTGGCCAGTGCTACAGGATGACTGGTCAGTACTTTAGATGTGGTCAGCCAGGACATCGGATTGCAGAGTGTCCACAGGCTGTATTTGATCGACGATCTGAGTTCCGATCTGAGAGCTTTGTTAGACCTGCCGGTTCAGTAGTATATAAATTGCTTCCGCTTGTGTTAGTTACTCATCAAGATTTGTTTTAAAATAAATTGTTATATTGCATTAAAGAAAAAGAAGAGTTTTTTTGGTTGTAATTTTTAAGTACCAATTCACCACCCTTCTTAGTGCGCCGAGGGATAGTTCAACGAGGTTTTACAACCTCCCCGAACTTTCAAAAGGGTCCATTTTTAGATAGAAATGTAGAGTTTTTTTTTTTTTTTGAATTTTTTGAAAAATTAGAATATGGTAGGGGTTGTTAATGATTATAAATATGTAATAATGATATTGAATGAGCTCTAATAACTTTGAATGCGTTGGGGTTTGATAAATGATTCAAAAGTATTCATATTTCCTACGACAAATTCCAAAGGGCCATATGAGCTAGGACATGAAGCTTTGATTGCTATACGGTCTATTTTATGTCTGATGACTGTGAGTTGTGATTCTTTCCTTGGTTGTTATTTGGGCCCCATATTTGATATATAAAAGTTAGTAGTCACTTTGTGGAAGGTTGAACCTTTGTGAAAGTCATCATTATCATAAGAGTTCTAACTCATAGGCACATATAACATGTACCTTTCCTTCTTAGCATAAATTTTATTGCAAAGGAGAAATCAAAGTTCTGTAGGGTAGACCTTGCGTGGTCATTATAGATCTCACTTTAAATGGGGTTTTAAGAAAATTGAGCATCTCAATATGGATGAACTAAGCAAAATGGAATATTGATAAGGGTTAGCCTTCATGTTCACAATTAAGTTTGGACTTCTACATAGACTTAAAAAATGTAGTATTGGTTGTATCTCTTATGAGGATGATTGGAACGCATCTCAAGCTGGAGCCTATGTAATATCACATCATTTTTTTTTTTTTTGAAGAATTCTCAAGTTAATTTTCTTAATTAATCAACCAGAGTTTCAATAAATTATTAAAATAATAAATCTATATATCCAATGAAAGCAACTAACAGTTATATATCTTAAAATATTTCACTATATTCATTCTCCCAAAATCAATATACAATAGCCAGAAGATTAGTACAATTACTATTCTATCACAAACTCATAATTACAAAAGAATAAGGGAAAATTAAAACAAAATTAAATGAAACCTCAATTTAAGCATCATGCATTGCCAAAGAAGAAAGAGAGAGGGAGGAGAGAGAAGGTTGTTCGGAGATTTTGAATCCATCAATTTTATTCAAAGATTTCTCCTATTCGTTATAAGTAACCCGAATCTCATTTTAATTTTCAATGATTTTGAGTTTGACAAATTTCTTCTCTTCTAAATCGATAAAAAATATATTTTTTTCATAATTTATCGAATTTTTACCATATAACATTTTGTATAAAATAAATATGAACAATATGGACATTTTGACAATAGCATCACTGAATTTCATTAGATAGAATTAAAGTTATGATTTTTTGAAGGTATATATATTATATAAATTTTTTGTATTAAATATAATTGATTATTTCATAATGTATTTTGACAGTGGAATTTGCATACATAAGAAAGGTTGGTTGTTAACATTATAAAATGGATTAACTGTTAAAATATAATTTTGTGCACATAAAGGTTAGCTAATGAGCTTTTCTTTAAAGATAATTTATGGTGTTATTCCGGTTGTAGATTGTAATGAATGATCGAATTACACTGACTGGGACAGGGTGGCAAATCTTAATGATTATTGAAGGTCATATATAATAATAATGATTAAAGATAAAAGATAATAATATAAAGAAAGAACATATGAAAGGATGAAAATATGACATTTAAGTTGGATGTCCTGCCTTGCTAATCCATATATTGATGTATGCATATACTAGTAGTATTGATAAATAAAGTAGTAACATGTGTATATAGATAACATATGAATGTATACAAGTATTAATTGCATATAATTGATAGGTGGATGTAAGAGAATAAGATTGATAATATTGACATTTGTGTGGATGCAATTCATTTTACTGAAGCTTGAATGATTATCGTATCGCTGTTTTACTGATTTATTGATTCCCATGCTTGTTATTGATTCTTAGATTCATTATATGATTTATTTACTTTTGTTGTTAATCATTTTGATCTTTATAACTTAATGAGTAAACTCAACATGCATATTGATTCTTCTAGCATTGTGTTAAAATATTTAATGAGTTTGGTTTAGTGATACGTTTTTTTGCTCATTATGTGGATTTTAATAATTTCATGTTAAGAAAGGGGTCATGATTAGGTGGAGTGAGATTGGCAGAGATCCTTAAGTTTTCTTTTGATTTTATTTATAATTTTCCTTATTTTTTTGTAGTCACGAGTTTATGATAGAGTAATAATTATATTAATTTCTTAACTATTGTATATTGATTTTGGAGAATGAATATAATGCAATATTTTGATTTATGCAATTATTAGTTACTTTCGTTGGATTTAGATTTATTATTTTGATGATTTATAGATGCTCTAGTTGATTAATCAAGAAGATAAAACATATAATTCTTTCAAATTTGATTCTGAGCCATTACAACCTATCACAGTCTCGACAGATAATGGGGAAATTTCTAAATATCATAGCTTCATCCCAATAAGTCATCGAGACTCAAATTGGTTTATGTTCTTCACTTGATGTAAATCTTTTTTGTGTGAAATAGTTATACTTATCATAATTATCTTACTAGTTGAAGTCGTGGAGATTATAAAGTCTCCCATTACTCAGTCAATATAGATAATAACTTTGCTAAGCAAGGGAAAATGTCTCTTTTGAGGGGTAATGGCTCACCCGATGTAGGCTCACCTTGAGAATAATCTTTCACACATGTGACTGATTAACTTCTCTTTTTGACTATAGAACTGTGATACGAATAAAAGAGATTGGTGTCACATGTGTTTAATAAGTTGTTTGCTTTTATCTATATCTATTATAGTGCCAACACAGAGATTTTTCATGATGTTCAGTGGTGGAGCTAGACATTTTTTTTTGGTGGGCCTAAAATTTACTATTTGACAACTATTCCTCAACTTTTTCACGAGTTTGGACCCAACATATTAATTTTAAAGAGAAAAAAAAAAAAAACACTAGCCATAACTAATTTGTCCAAATTTATAAATCATTTGTAAATAAGATAAATACTGATTTTGATATATTAAAAGTAAAAACAAAATTTTATTCAGGATTTTATGAGATTCTGTATTTATTTTTAACTTCTCTAATACTTATTTGTTTATAAAATGTTTGATACTAATATCTTGATGAATTTAATTTTTAACTTAACATATACAAAATGAAAGAAGCTCACATTTATCATCTACTAGGATTTGCTACAATTTTTTATATTTTTTTATAGATTGGTATGTGATGCCGTAGATATTGCTTGGTTCACCGTCATTCTGTTGATTAGACGTTGGATCTGTAACTAGGTTTTAACATAACGTGCTTTATTGATGGGTGCCATAACGGTACAGTAGTTTTCATGCAAGCCATGAAAACTTTACGATTGCCTACCCCATATGTCCATACTTTTTTTATTCTTTATTTTAAATCCTTAATTAGACACTGTATTTTTTTAAATAGTGGGCACTTGCCCCTGCAGGCCCCCCTTGAATCCACCCATGAGTATGATGATAGTCCATGACATGTTTCAAAAAAAAAAAAATCATTAAATAATAATCCAATGACTTGATAATGATATGAATGATTAGTAATATGAAAAGAAAAAAATCACAAACAAAGAGAAGTGAGTGAGAGAAATTTATAAGCATGAGAATCTATTGTGTTTTTTCAAAAAAAAAAAAAAAGAAGAAGTAAAAAGACAAAGACAAGGATCATGCAAAGAGAAATTATTGTGTGCGGAATCCGAATACATTCGGATTCCAATCATCATGCGCCATGTCACTGAATGCACTGGGCCCCGAAGTGCATATGCTGATGTGGCAAGCGGTGATTGGATCAAACAAATTAAAATTATTAAAAAGAATAGAGAGATAATAATCATTAATTATTTTCATACACAGAGCAATGTTCATTAACTTCAATAATTTTGATTAGAGCAAACAAATTAAAATTATTTTGATTATTTTCAATATTTTAAATTAATTTTATAGCAATATATTTTAATGTTATATTTGCTCAATTACATTCAGATTCAAATTGAATTCGATTAATTAATCGGCTCATTAATTAAATTCGACCCCGACACAAGTGAAACGATTTTCGATTAGAACTCTCGAAAAATTATTATCCGCATAGCTTTTCATACCTGGGGACAATGTTGGCTCCGTATACAACGGTGCACCGTATCTCGCTGCGAGGGACTAGTGAGGGTCTGAGCCCGGTACAAAGAGCAACAAGGGTGAGCGGACAGTGACGAGCATCTGAAGCGGGGTTCGCTGATTCTAGGAGATCTCCGTTGAGCTTGAAGAGCGCCAAGCAAGGAGGAATCTCTGCGGTAGCCCGTGTTTCTTTCTCTTTTCTCGTCGCCTCTTTTTTCCACCTCTGGCCACGTTAGTAGGCCGACAGTACAGCCCAAAGCCTCCGGTGAAAGAGCTCTCGGGAATGAGGGTTTTCCTATCGTTCTTTCAACCCTAGCATAGAGCTGACAGGAGTGACGGTTTTTCCTCCTTGCATACTCTTTCCCATTCTAGCATTTTCATCGTTATGACTGGAGGATACGTAGCCTAATTAATTTTGGGTTTCACACTTTTACTGTATTTAAATTGTGTTTTTTTTTTTTTTTATGTTAATAGGATTATCTTACTGGCTTGGATTATATCTATAAGTTGATTTTTATATCATTGAGCCAAAGGTGGAAAAACTACCCTAAGTTTGCTACTATATTGATTGATAATGAATTTCGGTAGAGGTTACGAATTGATAGTAGAATAAGTGCATTTGGTTAAGTAGTTCAAATTCAGCTTCAAATTTTCGAGTTATAGGCAGGGCTAGGTGATTTGAGGTGGTTTAAAAAAACCTTAATTTATGATTTCTTTAATATTTTAACATTATTAGATTGGGAATTCAAATTGCTTGTGTTCGTAATAGACTAGTACATTGCTTGATGGTTAATCCTAAGTTTTCCTAGTACTTGCAATCTAACTGATGAAATGTGGTTTGCTCCATGTAGTTTGTTAGATTGAGTTCAAGCTTAAGTTAAAGAAATCTAAGCTAGCAAATTGTGAATTATGTCCTTAAGCACACTCTTCTTGGCTAATTAATGAATAAGTGTGCTAATTTTTGGTTTCAAATTTTATGTAGTTCTGATTTTTTGAGTAATTGGGTGATCAAAAGGCTAAGACAGGTAATAGTTAATATTTTGCATAGTTAGGGCCCAAATCAAATATCATGTTTTGCTATAGGCTTGAGGTGTTGATGAGTAGAACCTTCTTGGAACTATTGTATGTATGCGGTTCTCTGCGTGCAATTATTCATAAGTATTCCTTTTGGCACATGCCTTATGTAGATTTGATTTTATTCTTGCATGGTTGCATCTTTATCTCAACATGTTTATTCAAATATTCGCATTTGTTTACCTGATTAGGCACATCAAAGTATCTAGCACCATTTGCAAGTTCCTTAGACATTGCACATCCATATTTTATTAGATATTTTGCATATTGACAACAATCATTGAGCATGCTAGAAACATGCATATTTATCATAGCTATTTTGCATATTGACAACTGCACTATTCAACTATTTCAATCTTATGACATTCTTAGTCATGGTTTTTTGGTATTAGCATGTTGGATAAATACAATTGTTAAGTAATCATTCAAGGAAAAAAATTTATATAATTATTGATTGATCTTTTGCAATTAGTATGTTGGATATATAAATTTTTTATGAAATTATTCAAGGACAAAATTGTATGTAATTTGTTTGGATGGGCAGATCCTTGGAATTAATTGGTTTATTATTGGAGCTGATGGCTTACACTGGAACATATGGTATCACTAGGGATGATGATGCCTCTAATATTGGTTTTAGATGGGCAAACATATTAATTATTGTTGCATTGATTCATGTGGGTTGATCACGTATTATATAGTATGTTGGATATATACAATTTTTAAGAAATTATTCAAGGACAAAATTGTATGTAATTTGCTTAGATGAGCATATCCTTGTAATGAATTGGTTTACCATTGGAGCTGATGGCTTACATTGGAATAGATGGTATCACTGGGGATGATGATGCCTCTAATATTGGTATTAGATGGGCAAACATATTGATTATTGTTGCATTGATTCATGTGGGTTGATCACATATTATATTGTACGATTAATGCTGCTATTTATCACTGTGGTGATGAGGACATCGTCAGCGATTTCGACACGTGTACCATCGAAGACATCGGAGATCGACGGCCACGATCAGGAGTTTTTATTTTGAGTCATTTTATGTAGTAGTTTATTTTAATTTTTTCTGTTTTTACTATTTTACCCTTATGGGTGGTCATTTGATATTGTAGCACCGAGGGCATTTATGTCTTTTAGTTTTTGTTTCATTTTGGTCTGTTTATAGGAGGCCTCATGCATTGTACTAGAGGATGAATGATTGAATGAATGATATTTCTCTTTGATCTCTTTGTGAGTTTGTGAACTTTCTAAGATCTCTTTGTGAGTTCTTGAGGAAGTAGCGCTTGTGGATCTCTTTGTGAGTTCTATTGGAGGTGTTGCTCGAGGTTTGTAGCTCCGGATCTTCTTTTCCCGAAACCTATCTTTCTTTTTCTTCTCTACCCATCCAATACTCCCTCCCCTCCTAAATTTCCCCCACCGGCCCACCCATAAATCCACCGTCGGCCATCCCAGGCCGATCCCGCCACCGGCGGCTCCGCCAGCCTCGCCGGTCGGCCGCCAACCCACCGGCTCTAGGCGTCCCACCTTGCCGCCGCCCCTTACTTCCTCCCTCCTTTTGAATTTCAAATCTCTCTTGATTAATTCACTTTCCTAGTTTGTCTCTCTCCAATTAAGAGAGTCAATTAAGAGGATTAAAGCCTATTTTGAAATTCAAATTCGTTCCCTCTCATATTAATCCGATTCGGGAAGTTACTTAAAATATAATCAAATCTGAAATTAAAATTCAGATTTTGATTAAGATTTATTTATTAAACTTTGGGCCCCACTTTCATAATTCCTAAGCCTCTCTCTCTCCTCCTCATATGACCGGCCCCTTAATGGGCTCTTTCTCTCTCCCGAATTAAATTAAAAGCTCCACCAAATCAGCCCCTAATTATCTCCTCATTTAACGGCCATAGTCATTAATGGATTAATTTGAAATTTCAAATTAATCTCCCTCCAAATCCACTTAAGCTGAAATTAATTTCATTTTTTCAATTTCCCCTCCTCTCTCTCTTGGCCGGCCCCATGCCCCTCCTCCCCACTTAATTTTTCTTCCAAATCCAGGCCTAAATCAAAGGGGAATTAAATCCAGCCCTCCTTCATTGCTGTCCACACAGTTTCCCTCCCTCCCTTTCATGCTCACGTGCACCCATTCGGAAGAAACGGCTGGAATTTCTCCTCTCCAACGTGCTGTCCAGAATTTTGGACAAATTCTAGGTGCTGCCATGGGACTCATAACATAGGAAGCTGCTGTCCAGGAGAACTACAGCAGCAGAAACGATAGTTCTGCTATTCCCAAGTCCTCCAACTTGCTGTCCAGCTTCCTGGATTGGTTCCGTAAGCTATCCCAGGGACAGAAACCTTGATAACTGCTATCCTGAGTCTCAGGTTGCTGTCTACAGATTCCAGATTATGCTAGTTGGCTGTCCTCCACCCAGAAACTGCCAAAATACTGTCCAAAGGCCACTATTTCCTTCTCCAACAGACTATACCTTGGGCACCATTCGTCTCCTAGTGGCATTGCTCGGTTTGCTCTCAATCTTCCTCTGTTAAAGCCCCACCGTCAAGAGCGTGAGTGAGGGACCCAATGTGAAAAGTTCTATTTGTTAACTGTGGATTATTGTTTCTTCGCCATAACATTACACTCTATTTTTATGTTGTTAAATTGATAGCATCCCGTTAATCTAGTTGTAACCGCATGCTTTACATAATTTCTACTTATAATTCTGAAAGCCTAACTTGGGTAAGCATTAATTCTATAACTAGCAAGTTTTTAATATTCTTATATTAAAATCCCCAAGCAGTTCTTGTTTTCATGCATATGTTTTACATCATGTGGACATTCATTTTATCACCTGGGATGCATCCTTCACATCTAGAGTCAATATGCGTGCTTCGCATTGTTCCATTACTGCTTTGAATTGTGAAGATTTCATTATTGTTGCAGTGATTCATGTGCATTGTGATGAGGACATCCGACCTTGGAGAGTCTACCAGAGGCGTGACCATCGATCTACGGCCACTATTGCACCGCTTTACTTTTGATTATGATTGTATTATATTATTATGTTTATGAGTTATTGTACCTTTTTTTTTATACCCTCACTTGAGGGCATAGTCATGTGTATGTCTTAGGGGCAAGTTGGTCTTTTTATTTTCTTCATTGTATTGGCATTTATAGCCTCTTCCTCCTTTGAGGGGGATGGAAGATATTATGAAATTTATGGACTTATGTGTTTTGAGAGAGCTTGAGAGTTCTTGGAGAGATTGAAGTCTCTAGGTGAGGTGATGAGGTCATCGATCAACGGTTCAGACACGTGTATCGCCGGAAGCATCGCCGATCGATGGCCATGATTCAGAGCTTATATTTTTAGTTATTCATGCATTTTCAGTTTTCAGTATTCCTGTTTTACCCTTGTGTGTGAGTGAGTTATGTTGGGGCCCCGAGGGCGATTTAGTCATTTGTTATGCTTTTATTTACTTGTATCTCATGACCTATATATAGGGGTCATGTATCATTGTATGAGGTTAATGAATTATTGAATGAAATCTATGTGTAATTCTACTTTTTCTTGCATGAGTGCTTGAGAGAGGAGAGAGCTCAAGAGGAGCAATCGGCAATACCCACCAATCGTTGGAATAGTCCGCGATTCGTGGTTAATTCTCATATTTCGTAGTTTTCCATTTTTCTTTGTTCTTCCCTACCAAGTCTTTTCCCCACCTCAACTCAAATTCTCCCCAATTAGGTGCCGCCACCCTTGATCACACCACCGGCCACCCTTGAGCCCGCCGCCGACCACCATCAGGGATCCGACCGGCCTCCTTCCGGCGTAGCCAACCCCCGGCCAAGCACTCCATTCGTTTGCCTCGAATTTGAAAGTTGAATTTCAAATTTCGAAAACTTTCGTGGTCGACTTCGTTGCTCCCCATCCTCCCTCCCTTTCCCTTCAACCGCCGGCCAAACCCCCTCCCTTTCTTGGCCAAACCCCACCACCACCACATCCTACCCTGCCACCCCATTCCCCACCTCCAAACCGCCAAACTCCAACCCTAACCGGCCTCCTTCCCCTCCCATTGCCTCCAAAATTCAAATCCCTAGTTAACACTTTCCAATCAATTTGAATTTGAAATTATTTCATAATATACGATGATCTATTTTTGGAAAGTTACTTAAATTAAGTTCAATTAAATTTCAAATTGAATTTGATTTAATTCAATTATATCCTATTTGAGATTCTTAATAAGGCAAGCCTTAATTCTCTTGCCCAAGCCCCCCAATTTCCTCCACCTGAAATTAATTAGAGATTCTCCTCTAATCCACTTTCCTTAGTTAATGTCCTATGTTTGGAAAGGGATTTCAAGTACCCAATCAAACCCCCTTGCATGGCCGGCCCCTCCCACTCTCTCGATTGCTGTCCAGAAGCTCCAGTATCTTGCTAGTAACCATTCCCACCTTCTGATGAAGGTAAACCCTCTTCCAAGTCATTTATCTTCTAAGTTTATCCCTGATTGTGGTATCATAACGATCTTGAAAGCTTTCTCCGCAAGCCAACTTTACTAAGAGTCAAGTGAGGGATCTTTATTCGTAGTGACTAGTCTCATTATTAAATTAGGGATTTCTCATTGAAAATCCTTCGTGTATGCTATGCTTGAATAATTGATTATTTTGTGATCTTAACTTCTAGTTGTTTGACTTGGTCTAAGCTAGTTTCACCCCTCCCTCATTTTCTTTCATTGTTTAAATTGCTACAAGTTTAATATTGAATATTTCTATCGTATAAAAGTGTGCAATTTCCTATTTAATATTGCCTAAGCATTTAAGTCCTACATCACATTGTCTATTGCATTTATTTTACTTGCATATGTTATGCATTTTTAGTGCTCATGCCAAAAATTATAAATGGTTTGATGTGTTTCCATTCTTCATATTGATTGAAGCTTCTGTTTTACTTGTGTTAATATGTTTTGCACTATCTCAGATTCTTTGTTTAGCATGCATGCATTTATATGATGTTGTTTTTCAGTTTAAGGTTCTCTGATGCTATTATTTTGGTATCTAGGTAGTCTTCTGCCTTTTGTTATGTTGCAGGTTATTAATTATTATATTCAAGCCAATCTGACCTATAGGATTTCTTTATTATTTTTATTCTGTAGATCTGTGGATTCAGATCCTTTCATGCTGAATCAAGTTAATAGATAGATTTTTATTTTGCTTGGTGGGTATTCTAAATGAATATCGATAATTTTAGTCGTGGAAATGTTTGTTTAGAATCAACCTACATATTTTTATGTCATTTGTAATTCAGAAGAGTAGCATTTTCAACTTTTATGTGATACGATTCTTGTGGAACTGACCCAACCGGCCCTGGTGGGGCCGACCCATGTTTACAGTAGGCGGGCTAAACCGCCTCCTTTGAATCAAAGTGGGGCTCTCTAGGGTGGCAAGAGGAGAGAGAGAGAGAGAGAGAGAGAGAGAGAGAGAGAGAGAGAGAAGGGGGGGGGCAAAAGCAAAGGAGGGAATTATTTAAATTTGTTTTAGGAAGCTTTATATTAGGAAAACATGAATTAGGAATTAATTGAATTAAATATTGAGTAGTTGGTATAATAACATGATAGACTAGGGTTAGGGCATGCATGATGATTTTTTTTCTTGGAGTTCTCTTTGTGGTTTTGGGCTTTAGATTCATCGTCTAGAGATTGGGAGAGAACGACCCTCCTTTCGAATTGAGGATCAATTGTATCTTTGTTTGTTCTTGCTTTTGGTTTGATTCCTATAATATAATCTACTGTTTTGGGTTGTTTTCATTGAAGATCTTGAAATTTTCTCGCTGTTTTCACCGATTATTGTTAGGTTTGCTTGCAAACTCAAGTATTTCCCATTAGGGCTACTTGCGAACTCAAGTATTTCCTATCATTATGCTGCTGAAATTATTTTGTTAAGTTGAATGGGACCTGACAAATCACTTCTCAGGACAAAGGAGGACAATAAGGTAAAAAGAGCTCCAATACTGTTGGAGATGGCAACTGGAACATTGGGTACCTATTCACCATCGCAAAGCTTGGAACGGAGACATCAACAACAGAAAAGGACAGATTTTCAAGAAGTTGATTGGGCTCGATCTGATGGTCGGAATTTCCATCAGTGCAGACCTGCCTGTACTTATCCATCTCACTTGTTTCATGTCTTATTTAATTTTTCATGCATCTTTGCTCATTTTGCACTAGATGCTTGATATTTTTTCCCATTAAAGCACTCAGTTCTGTTTATTTACCATTTGCAATTTCCATGTAGAATGCTAGGTGCATATGAGTTTTTGTTAGTTTGTCTCGAATGATCTTTGTGCCTATGATTTTGGTTGCTTGCTTCAATGTTTTGTGCTGTTAACATTGAAGTTTACAATATAGTTTCCTGGACATGGCTGTCTAGTAGCTTTCTAAATATAGTAGACTGCAAAGAGGCTCATTGCAGCTTTTTTGCAAAGGCATTGCAAATCCATGGGCTGATATTAGGACATTTCTATGCTGCATTGGTTGGTCTAGTGCTGTTAATAATATACCTATTATTAATGCGTGTTGGTACATGTATAAGAATATAGAAGCACCATCCATATGCCATCTCACTCAAACACATTTCTGCAGCCTGTAGATATTACCTTATGGACCATTTTCATTTGACCAAGCATTCTTTGTATCCTTGTTAATGTCCTCAAACTTATTTTTCGCTTTTTATTTGAAGAAAATAGCACATAGATGTTTTAATGCCTGAGAAATTGTAAAAGCTCATGAAAAATTGGGCAAAGTGATACAATTTATGGTTTAGACTTGTAAATGTTTCAGTTTGTCAAGGGCATGTCATATGATTGAAATAAGAATGAGGTAAACTTTAATGTTGTATTAAATAATGTTCATTGTAGCAGTTATTTTATTTTACAAAATCACAGAACTATGAATGTATGCTTGCATGTCTCAGATTTTCTTTGTTACACAATTTTTTTGTTTAAATTATGTGCTATAATTGCTAAAGACATCATCAATTTCTGACTATGCTAACTCTAGTCGCTCAGTTCTCAGGACAGGTGCTGCAAGCTCTGCATCAGGTTCAGCATATGCTGAGTTTGGCTCGACCAAGGTCATTGTATCTGTGTGAGCACAATTCTGTGGTTCCTGTATGCTTTTTTCCCATGAAGTTCTCTATATGTTAATTCCAATTATCATTAAAGTGATAGATATCCACGTCAAAGTTGTGAACATACAAAATTGTGCTTATTTTTTATTAGCTCCATACTGTACGTAAGTACCACTCATTTGGTTACAGTTTGAGATTCCTGAAGCTAAACAGACATGCAAAGGTAATGTTTTGTTAGAAGATATGCAATGGTAATATTTTTGGCAGGCCTGCATGGGTAATGTTTTTTGACTCTGATTGTTTTGTATTATCAAGACCCTCTGTAGTTACAGTTTGATACCTCCGAATGCATCATTGGGAAAAAATAGACATTATAGATCTGTTTAACATGTACTTTAAATGTAGGATATCACAATTTTTTTCATTAATTAAATATAGGGAAATTTGTTAAAATCTCTTGGTAGTTTTTTAGGTATTATCTGTTTCTTAAAGAAAAGGCTTTAAATTAGCAAAAAAAGGGTAAAATATCAAATTCTTAATAGGTTAAAGTGCGTGCTTCGAACACTCAAATCTGGCTCTTCAAAAAGACTTTGTAGTTTCAGGTTAAATTTTTAGGTGGTGGATTGTATTACAAATTAGGTATTATTTAGAGATTTTGCTCACATTTTGCAAAGATTTTAAGATATGATTTTAGGTTTTCATAAATGCAATCCCCTATGGTTAATTATCACCCCCAATGCTGAGAGAGAACTTTCAATTAAGTTTAGTCGATAGGCGTTAAAGGCTTAGCATATAGTACTAGTGATTTTTTTTTAGGATTTAGGGAATTTATTATCATTAGCTTAGGGTTAGCTTAGAGCAGATGTGGAGGAATGATGACAAACCTTTTTCTGATCCCATGGTTCCATTATCCTGAGTGTCATAGAAACTGGTCTACTTAAACAATAGAGGTAATCGACCTAACTTGACCCAAAGATCTTTGTTGGCAGCCATTAGTTGTGTCGTTTAAGAGGATCTTATAGACTTGGGGTGGTTGCTTATCAAAAGAATAATGTTAAGTAAATCTCACCTTACAAAAGCCTTTATGCCTTATTAAGTGCTCTCAATAATTCATCACTCATAAAGTTTGGGCCATTGGGGAACTTGCGGGCTTTAAGTTATGACTATTATTTAGTAGTGTCATTTTGTGGCAAGCAACTTGGTCAACACCAGTCATAATCATTCCTTTGTGATGTCATTTTGTGGCAAAATCATCCAATTAGAGGTTATATGCCACATCCTTACCGGCGTGAGACCTTTAAAGAGTGATCATATTGATACACTTGATATTTCATGGGCTCTTTGTGAACTGAGGTTATCATATATTTGTCACAATTGACAAACTGTTATGAATGATGGATGGATTGAATATTTTAAGCTTTAAGTGGTTATTATTTGAATATAAATTTTTTTTAATTTTGCAAAATTGATAAGATTTTTGTATTTTTATCGAGGTTTGGGGATGTTTTTCTTTTAGAAATTGGGAGCTTTTTTTTTAATAAGATCTTTTTGGTTGAGATTTTCTATTAATGCAACCATCTTCTTGGTATTTGCATGATTTCTTTTCATTGTTGTGGACTATCGCTTTGTGCACTTGCTAGTAGAGGATCTGATCTGTGATTTGCATATATTTTGAATTCTTTTGACAATTAATCTCATTATAGACCTTGTCAACTTTATCATTGTACATAGAGAATTGAGTTAGAATAGTGAACTTACAACTTGCCACTTATGCTAAATAGTCTCGAGAGTTTGCTTTTGAAAATAAGTTTTCTTTATTAAAGTCTTTAAAGGTTTTATACAAACGAAAGATAAAATTTTGTGTGTGATTTTTATGGAGTATTCGGTTCCCATGCTATAATAATGCTACTTTACTTGATCAGACTAAGAAGAGGGCTTTAAATTATTCTTTTAAACAAAGTTGCTTTTGAATTTGTCACACAATTCTTTTCAATTCATTCCTTATAATGTGGAGGATCGGACTTGAAGAATGAGACTTATAGGTAGGGTAGCATGCTTGAGGGCATACATACATGATAGTGAATTTGATTTTCGAAAGATAAAATTTGTGAAGTTTCAAAGTGATTGCATGCTTTTTGGAGTGATTGCATACTTCTTGAGGCTTGGCAAATTTGATTTCATATCATTTTTTGTCCTAATAGGATTCTTGCATTTCAAGATAAGGTTTTGATTAAATTTTCTTAAAAATTTATACAACTTCTAAAATCATCTTTATTTTGCTATGTATAACATCACACTCACTGGAATACATCCGGGTACCTTTTTATTTTAAATTGATATGAGAGCACACTAGTTAGGTAGCTGTAAGCTTCTCGAGATATCTATTTAAAATTTAGATTTTCTTGGAAGAAACCTATAATGCTTTGAACGTGACTTAATTTTGACTTTTGAAAAGTGCTATCCTCATCTAAGTGTGCGAGAAAGTTTGCTTTTTCATAGCCAATGCACCCTTTTTGGAGGAAGTGCACCTATGTTACACTGATACACCTATTTATGAAGGCGTGCTGTATCCGATACACGGATACGCCTCCGATACGTCACCGATACGTGTCAGATACGCCTTTGTCGTATCCAATTAAAATACTATTTAATTTCAAAAGGACACGCGTATTCGATAAGCGTGCCCGTTGAAAAAAAAAAAAGACCCATCTTATTTACTTCCATGGTTGCAAGCGAGGTTGATGAGGACATCAGAATATCAATGGCTACGATCTAGATCTTATTTTATTTTATTTTATTTTTATGTCTTATGTACTAGTTTATCTTATATTACTATTTTTCCCATTTTACCCTTAGGAGTGGTCATGTGGTGTTGTAGCTCGAAGGATGTTTTAGTCTTTGCTATTTTTCTTTTCATGAGGCCTATTTATTGGCTAACTCTCTTGTATTGTAGGATGATGATTTGATAATGAAAATTTCATGTGTTTTCTTCTTCTTCTTCTTGTGTGAGCACTAGAGAGAAGGGAGAGAGAGCTCAAGGTGAGCAAGCGCAATTCCTACCAGTCTTTGAAAGAGTCCGCGACTCGTGGTTTTAATTTATTTTCTTCTTCTCCCTTTTCCCCATTCCACCCGTCGACCCTCCTAGCTCTTCCACCCCGGCCATCCTCCCCACCCAAATTCTCTCCCAATTCCACCACCTCAAGCTCCAACCAACGGCCCAAGCCCCTCTCCTCCAACTCCTTTCCACATTCCCTTGCCGCCACCCCTCACATGGATTCCCGCCACCCCTCACATGGATTCCCACCACCTCCTCACATGGATTCCACTCATCATCATGGCTCCTTAGATTGATTCAAGCAAGATAGGAAAGGTTTTCCATCATTTGAAATTCAAATTTGAATTTCAAAAAAAAAAAAAAATCCCTAATTTGCAAAGTTCCAAATATGGAAAGTTTTTAAATTTCAATCCGATTTAATTTTAAATTAAAGAGGGTTGTTTATTCTCTTTCATATGTGGCAAACCTCGTTTGAAAACTTATTCAAATCTTCCCCATACTCATCCTCCCCTCATGATGTCGCCGGCCACCCATTAATGGGCTAAATCCTATTGCTTCCTACTTGGGCTCCATCCCACTTGAATTTGAATTCAAAATTCAAATTAAATCCCGCCAAATCACCTTAAATCTGAAATAAATCTCAGATTTAATTCCCACTTGCAATTAATGTCGTGGTCCATATTCGTTGAATGTGGACACAATTTTTCCCTCCCTCTCTAGTCCGGCCCACTCCATCTCTCTCTCTCTCTCTCTCTCTCTCTCCAATTTCATTAAATGCTCCCAATTAAGACTCCTTAATCACCTCCCCATGCCGCCTCCCCTCTCGCCCAATTTCTCTCTTCCACTTTAATTCTCTTAATTTGAATTTGAATTCAAATTCAAATTCATCCCGCCAATTTCACTTAATATGAATTTAACTACACGGGCCACCTAAGCAACTTGCTGTCTTGCACTTTTGGAGATTACAGCTTGCTGTCCAGAAGACTTCCAGCACCCTACAACTGATGTCTAGGGAATTTCGACAAAGATCAGGGGCTGTCCTGCTGTCCGGATACTCCCCCTGCTGTCCAGACTTTTTATTGGAAGACTTCTCCTTACCGTGCCGCACATTTCAGCCAAGACCCTTGCTGCCTAGGAGATTTCAGAAGTTGAGCTGCTGTCCTGCTCTCCAGAAACCCCTGTTTGCTGTCCTGAAAAGTCACAGCTGCTGTTCCAAGACTCCTACAGTTTTCTAGTGCTGATTCGCCATCCGGAAGGCTCTCATTTGCTGCCCAGAAGATCCCACATGGCTGTCCCAATGCAGGACATCTTCGAGGTTAGCCACCGAACTCCAGATCTTCTCCCTCGCACCTCAAATCAGATCTAAGAATTGATGACGGTGAACTCTTCCCCAAATTTTCTATCTTCCTAGTCGCTCTCAATTATGTTTTAGTTGATTCATATAGATAATATTAATTCTCATCCGCTATAACCTAGTGAATTAGATAATTGAGTGAGTGGATTCTTATAGCAACTAAACTCATTATTAGTTTAGGGATCATCGTTGAAAACCAATCATGCATGCAATGTTAGATTCAATTGACTGTTGTACGATCTTAACTCCTTTGTATGTGATTTAGCCTAAGCTTGTCTTACCGCTCTTTGTGTTTTTTTTTGTCGTTCAAGATCAATATAAAGATATAATTATTGTGGTTTCTAAAATTAAGCGTGCAAACTCCCTAAGTTAATCATCCTTGCAAGTATGTTTCACATCATATTTGGTATCAGAGCATGGTAGACATGCATAGCATGTACTAGAAAACATCCTAGGGTTTAGCCAAACATTTGTCTTAAAGTTTGCATGCATATCATCGTCTAAATAATTTTAAATCCCTGTTTTTGTTTGCTGTCCATGCATTTCTTGCACATGTTTAGTGAATTTTAAGTCAATTTCCTCAGTGTCTTGATGCTGTGCTCAAGCCG